TTATACTCGACGCGTCCGCACGAGCGTGTGTGTGTACAAGCACAGCGCGAGTCTCCGCTGATTGCGCGCGCGCCGCGCACCTCTCCAAACGGACGAGGCGTTTATACTTGACGCGCTCGCCGTTGTGCTATTCTGTGAAACGAAACGACAGGGGGCGACTCGGAGTAATTATCTTCTAAACCACCAGGAATCAGCAGTGAAGAAGTAGTTTGCCGTTTATTAGTAGTTTATTAATTGCAGATTCATATAAAAAGAGTAGTAGGTTTATTGTACTTTCACTAAATGTAAACTTAACAACTGAAGCCTTATTGAAGAGTGTTTAAAGTCCCCATGAATTCAAAATTGACCATACTTACTTTGTTTGCCTAAATTGATAGTTTTGTGGTGAACAATTCATCCATGCAAGTCAATCCACACAAAAAATGTTTTTGGCTTCGTAATCTTTAATCAAAATCTGAAATTTCCCCTCCCCTCTGCGTTGGAGGACCTTGCCTGATGACGTAGGTTTCACGGTTTGGGCGTCTTCTTAACATCCGTAATCACGCCCCTCCAACTGACAGTAGACAGGCTGAATGAAAACACCTACTTTTCTAGATCCAATCAGGTGCTAGTTGAGAAAAAAGCCACGCCCACCGTTTTGCCTCATTTAGTATTCCGTTTCTCTCGGAAATACGTCACAACACTGGAGAAAAGTCGTTTGCAACTTCCGGTTCACGGGGACTTTAAACCTTAATTTCATCAGCAGGGATTACTTCTGCTATTGTAGGCTTATTTTGTAAATGTAAGCAGTTACTTTAGACAATTAAGTGCAAACATCGTTAGATCATCTAAATCAATAACATGTATGTTAGATCCTATAGGCCTATACCGACCAAGCTTCTGAAAGAGATGCTAGGTCATAGATACTCTTCTTAATATAATTAATTTATCTTTGTCATTAGGATACGTACCAAAAACTTTTAAGCTGGCTATGATTAAACCGCTTGTTAAAAAAACGCAACTTGATCCTACAGAATTAGTCAATTACAGGCCAATCTCGAATATTCCTTTTCTGTCAAAGATACTAGAAAAGGCAGTATCCTCACAACTATGCTCCTTTTTAGAAAGAAATGATATCTGCAAGGATTTTAGGTCAGGATTTAAACCGTACCATAGTACTGAGACAGCTCTCATTAGAGTCACAAATGATTTGCTCTTATCATCCGATCGTGGTTGTATCTCTCTATTAGTGTTACTCGATCTTAGTTCTGCATTTGATACTATTGACCACAACATTCTTTTAAATAGACTCGAAAATTATGTTGGCATTAGTGGAATTACAGTGGTTTAAATCATAACAATTATCGGTTTGTAGCAGTAAATAAAGAGATGTCTTATCCATCAAAAGTTCAGTATGGCGTACCACAAGGCTCAGTGCTAGGACCTTTGCTGGGAAATTACGTCATATGCTCTCAATGACAAATCCGTAACAATTAGTTCATGACATCAAGGCTATTATTGTAATTTTATTATGGGTGGTTGCCCTGCATGCTTAATAAACAAACTACAGCTGGTCCAAAACGCAGCAGCTAGAGTATATCAGAACCAGGAAGTATGACCATATAAGCCCGGTTCTGTCAACACTGGATTGGCTCCCTATTAAACATTGTGTAAATTTTTAAATATTGCTGATTACTTACAAAGCACTAAATGGTTAAACTGCCCAGTACTTGAGCGAGCTCTTAAACCATTATACTCCTTCACGTGAATCACGTCTATTGCGATCTCAAAATTCCGGCCAGTTGATAATACCTATAATATCAAAATCGGCTGCTGGCGGTAGATCCTTTTCTTATAGTACCAAAACTTTGGAACAGTCTTCCTAACATTGTCCAGGAAGCCGACACACTCTGTCAGTTCAAATCTAGATTAAAAACACATCTCTTTGACCTAGCATACACATAACACATTATAGACTTCTATAATTCAATGTTAGGCTGCATAGATTAGGTCAGCCGGAACCTGAAACACTTCCCATAAATCCTGATGTACGTGTTACATCATAAGAAGGATGGCATCTACGCTAATATTAGTCTCTCTAATTATCCCGAAGTTTACTTTAGTCCGCCGTATCCAGATCTGATGAAGGATCTGCGCCTGGACACGACGACAACGCAGTGTCAACTAGTCTCTCCCCTGTGAAGGCCTCCTTCCCTTCCCTTTACCTCTGTACAGATAAAACGTTGTCGGGATAATACCGGTTCGCGTGGCTATGCGGAAGCGATAAATAATTCTTTATTATACATTTTTAAGGCCAGACAAGTTTGTTGAGGGTTGGTTTGTAAAGAAGGACTACATGCCTGCGCACATATATATTCAAACACGGATAACTATAGACTAAACACGTGATGCGCCTGTGCATACCGTCTCCGTTTTTGCGGGTTTGCATTTTTGAGGTTTGCGCAGAGATAACCTTTTTTTCAAACATATTCAAGGCTTGCACTTTGGAATCTATTTCAGGCTTTGCGTTCTCAAGCCACCAGGCACTGTTTTGTGCGTGTGAGCGGGCCGGAGCGCGTTGAGTGTTTTCTGTTAGAACGGTGTCGTGTTAGCGGCCCCTAAGTTAATAACTACAGTAATGATCTTTGGAACAGAAGTCAATCAATCAATCAAAACTAACTTTAGCTGGACAATAACTTTATTCCAGAGCTGCTGTAAAGCCAAAACAATCTTTGTTACTGTAATTTCCTATTATCACTGTAAAGCTGCTTTGAAACAATCTATATTGTTAAAAGCACTAAATGGTGACTTGACTTTACTAGTAAGATAAGAATTGTTACTAGTAACAATTTCAAAAGATACCAGTGTTTAATAAATAAGTAACTACTCGTGATCTATTAAATAGTTTCTAGTATGTAATGAAAAATGATAACATTTATTAAATAAGTACTAGTATCTAATGAATGCTTAATAATAAAATTTAAAAAGATACTAGTCACTATTGGAATAATTACTAGTCAAAAATTAATAGATGATATAAAAAACTGAATAACTACTATATGCACTAAGATATCTTAAACCTCATTAGGAACTAGTGGGAATGAATTTGGAGATATCTTCTTTCAAACAGATCATTACATAAACATGAGTACCTCTCAATCATCCAATCAGAGTTCACATGATAATACAATATGTTAAGATACTGAATGAAATTGATTGTTTGTTTAGAAGTATAACTGGCTTTGTATGTTAGCTTATCTTGCTAATTGGTTAGCATCAAAACACAATTAAAGATGTGTTTAATAGGCTATCTAATTTATTGTTTTTGATTTACAATAAAAACATGACTATTTGGATTTGATAATTGACAGTTAACCAAAAAACAGTTCATGCACACCAGCCACAATACCCACTCAAACAACCACAATACCCAACATCCACCACATGAGATTTTTTGGAGAGTATTTATAATTTCTTAAAATAAAAAAAATAATATTTATCTGCATCTGAGAGGCATGTCAAAATAAGAGTCCTTCTCTCCGTGAAATAGGCCTTCTCAAAATATGTTTCAGCTATTTGAAGACTAAAAATTGCTACAGTTTGTGAATTTCTATTTATGAGTATGGCCCTTTGATAATAAAAAAAGGTTTTTCTTGCCCTTATAATGTTAATTATTAATTAAGGCCTTCTTTCACTTGTAGATTTACTTTTTTCTGCACTGTTTCTTAAGGGTCAGTAACTAATACAGCGAATTCGCCTGCTGACAATGGTGAACACTGGCACAACAATGCTAATGAATGAACAATGACATCAAAGGAACTTGAGAACTGCCAAACAATGAAACATAATGGCATAATGATGGAAAACAATAATTAAAAAATATTTAAATATATATATACACACACACACACACACGCATTTTTTACATATAAAATATGAAAAAAAAAAGAATAAATTCCTCTAGTGACATATCTGTATTTCCTTTTATTTTATGTCTAATTTCTCTCTTATATGTTGTTGGTTCATTAATATTCAATGTATTATTATCATACTAAGCAGAAATTAAAATTTAAAAAGTACTAGTCCCTATTAAGTTTAAAAAAAAAGTACTAGTTCTAATTTTTCTAGGCAAGTATAATGAAATAGACACTATTGGAATAAGTACTTGTCTAATAAATACAAACTAGTATCTAAAGTATCTTTAAAAAGGTACTATTACCTAAATAATAAGCACTATCTGAAGAATAGGCACCAGTACCTAAAGAATAAGCACTAGTAGCTAGTGAATAAGTACTAGTAGCATAAAAGATACTGGTACTTATTAAGGATTAAATGTAAAAATGGCTTGCCATAGTGTGCCATTTATTTGAGTGCTTGTAGTTAAAACATACTAAATGCCATAAAATATCAAAAGAAATAGACTGCGATGTGAAGAATGAGGTTGACTCTGAAAGGCAAAGCAAATATAATGGTAAACATAATGTATTTTATTTAAATTGTTACTGACGTTTTTAATCAGAACTGAGAGAGAATGAAAGTGTAAAGGCATTCAGACAATATTAACCCCAAGGGACATTCCATGGACAGAAATAACAGCAATTCACTGTGTGTGTAGTAGTTTAAATGGAAAGACATTATCATAGACATAAATGTGTCACAAGTGTTTGGCTGGAAAAAAATATTTTGCATAATGGACGATTAGGAGTATAGAATATATAAGTAGCCTACCATTTGTCAACATGATATATATATATATATATACATTTCTAATTATATTACCATTTACATCATTTAATGCTCACTTAAAGTTAATCTTTAAAAATGTAATTACTGTTAAAAGTAATCATACTGAATATCCATTTTTGATGCCAAAATTCACTTAAAATTTTAAATGACTTATTCTAGCTTTTAGAACTTTATTATTAATACAATAATATAACTTATACAAAATATTACATTATTTTAATGTTAGCCATTAGCTATCAGTTATTTACCATAACATGAAAATAACTATCGGCTTATGAGTCTCAGTCAAAAATATTGTGCATACTTAGTAATAATTTGTGTTGATATTTAATTTAAATCTATTTTATCTTTAATATTTTACCCATTCTTTCATTCAATGCCAAATTTGCCCTCACTCCAACTGACACAGCTTGATCGAGGCTCCACAGCTCACAAACTCAAAGCCAGGGTAGAGAGGTTGTATGAATGTGGTCTGAACTCTGTGAAGGAGGGTCATTGAGTCATCAATGCTGTAAAAAGCTAGTGTCCCGGCCCTATAATCTAGATAAACACCTATCTTTGACGAGCCAGGCTCTGAGATCTTACTGACAATCCTGTTGTGCCGGAAAGCATAACCTCTCCTGCAGCAGAACAAACTCCAGGATTTGTCATTGTGACCGAAGTGGGCTTCATTGCTTTCCCCTTTCCTGGCAATGTTTGTGTATGCGACGGCAATGTTTACTCCCATCCCACTCCATTCCACCTCCCAGTAGCAGCAGCCTGTCAGGCCCTCAGTGCCCAGCACCTGGCACCAGTAATCAAAGCGCTCCGGGTGGTCGGGACAGGATTGCTCTTGGCTTTGAACAGCCGCTTCTCTGTTCCCATTGGACAAACTAAGGTCCTTGTGGGCTGTTAAAGGATTTAGTTGCAGCGGGCAGGAATCTGAGAAATGGATAGAGCATAAGAGATCAAAAAATTTTATTCATGGTGTATTATATTCAAATCATATAAACACATATCAGATGAGAAGTTGAAGAACACCAGGGGCTTTCGCACCGGAGGAAACTTTTCATAGTTCCTAGAACTATTGGAGTACCCGGATGTTGGTGTGTTCGCACCGTAGGAACTAGGAACGATTTTAGTTCTAGGAACTCTTTAGGAGGAATTCATTTAGCTCCTACTTCTTTGACTCACAATAGTCACATCATCTGATCGGCCTCTTACAACGAACACAGTGCTGAAGTTTAATCAAGATCAGTTAATTTATGCAAAAGTTATAACTTTGTGTTTCTCTTTTCTCGCCATAAAGTACTTTCCTCGCCACGGCCAAACCGTTCGAGATATCAAAAATCCATTCGCAATTTAGCATCCTCAATGTCTTGACTTCATGCACACCGAGTTTGGTGGCAATCGGATGAATTACCTAGGAGGAGTAGGCTATTTAAAAAAATTATTTATATTTTATGGGTTGTTTAGATGATTTTCTAAACAACCCATAATAGCTAACTTCCTGTTGAGCTGACGTAAAACTTAGAGCACGAAAGTTGTTCGGCCCGATGAGATCTATATGTGTGTACCGAGTTTCATATTAATTAATGCAAGCGTGTTTGATATATGGACCAAGTTTTTGGACCCCGCTCAAAAGCACAATAGGAACTATCCGTGACGTTAGTGTACGCGGATTGGCCGAACGCACCATAGACAGTAAAAGAAATGGACACAGCGACCCCGTTGATTTCAACAGAGAGAGTTGAAGCCCAACATGGGCACTCACTTCCTGATAGCCAAGCGTTCTGCGCAGGCTCAAACTGAGCTTGACGACGTAGTTGTCACATGAGCAACCGTTCTGACCTTCTAGTAGCTGTGCCGGGACAAATCTGAATTGAAATCTGAAACAAATCTGTTGTTGAAATATTTTGTCCCGTTGCTTTTATGAACTCTCTATCTATGGGCTTCTCCCTTGACTTTATGCCTCCATGTCCACCCGATTGCCTCATAGACAGTAAACGATTGCTGACGAGCTTCTACTTATGTCTATACGGTAATTTCTCTACTGTGCGACAGAGCGTCCAGTGGTTATGACGCAATCGTTAGCCTATTTTTACAAGAATGGCTTCTACGGGGCCATAACGTAAGATACAAAGTAATGGAGCCTTTTTTACATTGTCGTGTTTCTTTAGAAATAAATAATGGACAAATGGAGTCTTTGGACGCCTCAGATGTAAAGTTATTCGCTGTCAAAGTGACGCCAAAATGAATGGGAGTCAATGGGATGCTAGTCTCAGCCTCAGACGTCACGCCCACGGAACGTTGGCTAAACGTCTGATGCATATGGTACACTTAACTGGAAACACTTCAGGAATGTCGAAGTCATCATCTGATTGGTTGAATTTTATCGGATTTCCGGGGGGCGCGAGTGTCGCGTTTATTTTCGGTCCGCCGGGAAACAAAGCGCAGACGTGTGATTGCGGAAGAAAAACTGTTGTGTTTACATGAGTGACAATGAGCATTTATCAAGATCAGCTAAACGTAGGATTCTCAAAAGTATGCGAGGTTCACGGCATAGACTCTTGAAGTTTTCTTCTCCTTCTTTGATTTTCTATGCTGACTGACTTGTTGCACGCCAGTCTGTTGTTGTGGGGACATTTCCACGCACCGAAACGTGACGCTGAACGAAACGAACTGTAATTGGTTGTTTGACATGTCGGTCAAACGGCCTTATGGGCGGGCCTTGGCCAAAGAAAGCTGCTATGAATTCCAGACCTTCAGCCGTCAGTCTGAAGGTCTGGCTACGCGAGACTAATGGGATGCTAACAGCAGGTGATAGCCAGCTACAATGGCGGCCCCCAGAGGTAGCTTCAACTTCCGGCTGATGGATTACCCCCTTGGAACGCACGCGAAACACCAGCACCCGCCTTTTTTTTAAAAGCTGTGTAAACACAGAGATTATAGCCTATGTATTTACTCCAGAAACTAACTCTACGAACATGGAAAACAGTAGTGATGGCCAAATGAAGCTTTTGTGAAGCACTGAACCACTTGAGCCAATTGGTTCGAAAATGGGTTCATTACTCGAAGCTTCAGTTGCAGCGACCTCTCCTGGCGAAAAGCAAGGCTGCAGTCAAATTAATCAGTGAGCAGTATTGGAGAAACTACTTTAGTTCTGAAGCATCTTTGCTAAGATCACCCTTGGATTTTTAACTATATTTCCTTTGAAAACTCTTTGATGCACACGCTAATGCTGAGCATAATGTTCTATTTACAAATAAAAATTGATAAATGTATGTTTTGTGTTATTTAGGAGAGAGTGCTGGGAAAATATGGCATAGGTTGGGTGTGCTTGTGTAACTATGGCAGGGGGTGATTTTTGGGATGGGGAACACTCAAAGATTTTTATTGAGGTACATTATTTTTTCAACAGTTTTTGGACTGAGTCGGTTTCTTTTTTTGCTCACAACCTCTCCAGACTTAGAAAACACTCGCTCACAAGGAACAGATGATGCTGGCGAACAATTTTTTTTTTTTGCAAGATTAAACAGATGAGGGTACACATTTTGATGGTTTTGTACATTGTACAATTTTACATTGTTTAGAGTGGTTATAAAGACTAAAAGGCGCTCAAAACTGTTTCAACCTATCACCTGTCAGAATCGAGATGCGCCGTTCCAGTGAATCACCTGATTGGACCGCAAACCAGTCAGATGATTCATTCAGGCAATGAAGCACTTGCTGCTTCGGACGTCATATGTCACATGATTTTTTTCGCACCAAAGCAAGCTTTGAAGCAGTGGTTCTCTAGGTTTGTAGTTCAGGGTTTCGAAGCTTCAGCGTCACACTGCCATCACTAGAAAACAGTGATAGATGGATGGACCTCTTGACTCTTACGCTGAGGAGAAAATCCAACGGAACTTTGAGGGGACCAAGCTAAACATGACCATTTTATTTCTCCTCAGCTAGCAACACTGGACATCATCAACCACACGGCATACGCTAATAACTTTTCATATATTGTCTACTTTCTATGTATAACAGTTCTATCGAATTACGTGTTAGACAGATCGTAAACTAATGAACATGCGTAAACTAAAGAATGCGAGCACCGTTTATTCAGGCTCAGTCGTTCCCTGCGCCGTCAAAATAAAAGTCACAACAACAAGCGCGGCTTACGTCACTTCAAAGTTCCTACTGGCGGTGCGAATGCAACAAGAAAACGTTCCTGGGGTAACCATTATTTCTCGGGGAACCACCCTGGTGGTAAGTTCCTAGAAGTTCTAGAACTATCCGGTGCGTGCAAAAGCCCCTTAACATCTACACTAGGCTGCCGTAAAAGTTTGGGTGAGATTCAGTGAGTATTCAAAGTATTCAATCAAAAAAAAAAAAAAAATTAATACTTTTTTTCAGCAGGGATATATTAAATTGATCAGAAGTGACAGTAAAGCCTATCTGCAAAACAATGTACAATTGTTATATTCTATTTCAAATAAATGCTTTCTATTCATCAAAGCATCCTGACAAAATGTATATGATTTCCACATAAAATATATAAGCAGCACAACTGATGCTGCTTTAAATTGTAATAATATTTTAGGCTATTACAGTTTTTTGAGCAAATGAATGCAGCCTTGGTGAGCATAAGACTGACTTACGGTGCAGGAACTCTGATCTAATTCTGGGCACTGTGCAGTGTAGGATCTTCATTGATCTAGCTGGAGAGAAAATGGAAAGCATGTGCGCATCACAAGGAAGCGATTTAACCAAAAAGGCTGATTTACATAACAATTTGCAAATTAGTTAAAGAGGAACTGTTTAGGCAGAAAGATCAATTTGGGGTGTTTTCCCCTCACCTGCTTGATAAACCCTGAGCCATTCCCCTTTAAAGACAACTTCAAGCTTCTTCTTTAGAGCAGATATTGCATTGTTCACCTTGCTAAAATCGGAGAGTGAAGCAACTGTGAAGGGTGGGTTAAGAAGGCCAGAAGAGAAGGAATGACAGTTCTGTAAAAAGAGAGAGAGAGAAGTATTTGTCAAATGGCTTCTGAGCAATTTTGTTGTATATTTTGCAATCAGCACTGGGTTTAGGGTTGCCTGAAGGACATGAACGTGATCTTCAGACTTCAGAAGCATCTCAAGCTCATGATCTCTCAGTTTGAGCTCAGTAATCTCTTGCTCCAGTGTTTGCAGCATGCTCTCCGCCGCTCTCTCTTGATCTCGGATCAGATCTCTGAATTTACACCTCCTCCTTTCAATAGACTGCTGCAACTCATTGAAGATCTGTTCACCATTTTTCATAGCAGCTTGTTCAGAGCTCTTTTAGGGCACAAAAACATGTATCAAGTGATTTTTGTTATTAAAATATATATATTTTATTTAATAATATTTATTTTAGAATAAACTATGATTATTATTATTAATACAAAGTAAAGAGTTAATTGATTTATTTTCAGGTCAATTGTTTTTGATTTAAAACATTTGAGGATTCATCTATTTTAAGTTAAAGCAGTTCTGGAAATGTCTCACTTTCAGGGCATCCACAGCTTGTTTAAGCTCCAGCAGGTCCTTTTCTTTAGTGTGGATTTTGAGCTTGTATTTCTGTCGTGTCATGCCCAATTCTTTCTGTGAAGAAACAAGTGTTTTTATTGTAATATTCATACTTTTTAACTATAATTATGACTGTAATTAGAATGGAGGAGTGATGTTACAGAATAGACATGCTGCATTATTTGGGAATTTGTTAACGTCGCTTAGGTATAATTTTATATTATATTTGATCTTTTAATATGAGTTACTCTTATACTCGTTTGTCACAAACAAAATAGTGAATACACTTTATATGTGAGGACATATATCTAGAATATTCAAAGTAGGTGACCAAGCCAACAGATCAACGTCTCTGATTGGTTAACAGGAAGCTCTGCTAGGGATATGTTTGCGTTGCAGGTTGTAATTTAAATGTGAAGCATGAAGTTTTTTTTTATATATTATCCTAACCTTATAACATTACACTTATTTACAGGTACTTTATTGTTTTTTTGCTGGAAAACTGAACTCAAGGGACAGCCTCAAAAACATCAGTTAAATGCCTCCTTTCTCTCACATTTTGTCCCTGTTACTCTGTTGCATGAACTTTTCTGTACAACGAAAGCTGTTTGTATTGAGCTGGAGTGCACTTTTGAAAATGTGCATTGCCTCAGTGGAAAATGATTTTGGCTTTTAAAGACCTCTGAGTATACTGTAATTTACTGTGTCTTCCATAGAGTTAAGAACCATGAAAAAGTATCTTGTTAAATAATTACACACTCAAAGAAAAACAAGAAAGATGATTGTTAATTTTTTTTTTTTTTTTACCTGTTTCTTTGTGCTTTCCACAGCTGCTGGTACTGTATCATGACCTTTGTGGTCCTCCGTCACACACAAAGGACATATGCACTGTTGATCAGTTCGACAGTATATCTCCAAATATTGATGATGATGAGGACAGATCTTCTCCTGGTTGAGGTTCACAGAGGCTTCAACCAGCTTGTGTTTCTTCAAGGCAGGAGATTTGTTGTGTGCTTGAAGGTGATTTTGGCATGCCAAACATACCAAACAAGACTTCACAGCCTTTTGTTTGATACTTGTACAGAAATCACAGGTTACATCACCTTGCATGTAATTGCTACAAATCTCAGAGTTGCCTGGAAGTTCCAGTTTCTTCGGCTTGTCCACCATATCTGCCAGTATGGTATCGTTCAGAATAGGCCTGGGGCTAAATGTCTGTGCGCACTGGGGACAGCTGAAGACCCCCAAATGATCTTTTTTGTTCCAAAAATCATTAATGCATTCTATGCAGTACCTGTGCCCACATGGTATAGCCGCTGGATCTTTCAGCACGTCCAGGCATATCGAACAGCGAAACTCTTCTGTATCCCGGAGCTCTTCCATTTTGTTGTCTACAGTAGGGAAATGTTTGAAATGAAATAGGGTCACTGAGAATCAGTTCACAGTTTTGCACGGATGTTCCTGGGCCACACCCCTCAGTTCTTCCTATTTAGATGACAGATAGGTAAATGTGTGTGCCTATTGCACTGTAATTGTAATAAAAATGCTGCACTGTAAACTTTAAAGAAAAATATCAAATAAAATAAAATAAAGATACTTGAAGCACCATTTAGGGTAGATTGCCACACTGGATAAACCCCCTGAACAAACTCTAAATCAGTGTTTCTCCACCAGGGGGCCTCAAGAGGACTTAAAATGATTCAGAATATGACAAAACAAGCTTTAAAATAACATAAGCCAAAACGTCAAAATATCAAGATATTTCTTATTTTAATTCATCCCCTTAACATTTTTGTTCTTTGGATAACCAGGATTCATATGGCCTTGGAAAACTGGGATGTCTAGACCTAGAGAAGTCATGTAAATGAATAAAAAATTTAAATGTTTTTTTTTTTTTTTTCATAAAGAATTAAAAAATGTCTTGTTGTTCCAAGCTTTCAAATACCTACTGGGTATAGATACAGATTAACTTATAAATATATATATATATATATATATATATATATATATATATATATATATATATATATATATATATATAAAGTATTCAAGTAAAAAAAAGTGTAATGGGTGAAGTGGCTGCAATAAAGCACACAAAGAATTAAAGAACAAAAACAGTCTTTAATAATAATCCAACTAGAACAAGCAGGAGTAATAGTATAATTAGTATAGATAGTTAGTATAATTCGTATAAATAGTATAGATTTCAAGAGTAATAGTAAAACTGGGATGTCTAGACCTAGAGAAGTCATGTAAATGAATAAAAAAATTAACTGTTTTTTTTTATTTTTTTATAAAGAATTAAAAAATGTCTTGTTGTTCCAAGCTTTCAAATACCTACTGGGTATAGATACAGATTAACTTATGAATATATATATATATATATAAAGTATTCAAGTAAAAAAAGTGTAATGGGTGAAGTGGCTGCAATAAAGCACACAAAGGATTAAAGAACAAAAACAGTCTTTAATAATAATCCAACTAGAACAAGCAGGAGTAATAGTATAATTAGTATAGATAGTTAGTATAATTAGTATAGATTTCAAGAGTAATAGTATAACAAGCACATGAAGACGTAAACGAGACCGGACAAAGAACTGAATGAACTGAAGGCTTAAATACACACACTGAGTAATCAATGGAAAATAGAACAGGTGCGTAAATTAGGAACTATGGAAACTAATCTACATTCACACTGTCAGTCCAAATCCAATTATTTGGTATTGTTTTGGAATCTGATCTAAAATTACTGACGTCCACATTGTGTATCGCAACTGTTCAGATCCGATTTGTGTGTCCATGCCACTTTTTCATTTTCTGAAATATTTGCATTGGTTTCTATGGCAATGACGTTGTGTTGGTAGGCATAAGCCAAACAAAAACCACAACATGGAGGGTTTGCAATACGGATGTTTCTTATTTACAACATGACAATGTGTGATGCCGTGCTGGACTAGCCTACTACATCTTCTGAGTCAGCGGCAGAAACATAGGAGGCTGGTATGAGTGATTTTATTCTTGTGCTGTCGTCTCTGCAATTTCAAAACATGTCTCTGTTATATTGTCATTTTCTGCTCGTCCGGCACTTTGCAACAACACATCCTTGTTTCTGTTTCCTAACAACGTCAAACATTTACGTTTTACGTGGAGTGAGGAAGTCACAAACTATGCAAAATCCGATCAGAGCAGACAGACTGAAACTGATTTCCAGAAATGCTTCTTCCAGAAAACCTGATTTCAAACCACGTATGAATGTAGCTCGAAATGTGAAATGTGTGCATTTCATGTAATTTTTTTGCCGTTCAAACTTGTTAAATTTCAATCGGATATGCACAAAAATCAGATTTGGACTGACAGTCTGAACGTATAGCCTAATAAGCACAGGGAACATAGGCAAACTATAACAGGGAAAACAGAACCAGAACACAATGAAACAACACAGACATAGCACTACACGTTACAAAAAGGTTGAGAAAACTAGATCTTTATTGCAGTGACTAGGTGGTGCCAAGTGACTCATTGTAAGAGAGACATTGAATGATTCATTGATTTGATTCATTCAAAATTCAGGTTTTTTCAGAGACCTATGAAACTGAATTCAGATCAAATACAGCAAATGGAGATTTTTCAATTGAAAATTCTATACTCTTTCTGTATATCAACAATTGTTTGATTTTTATGTTTTTAAAAAAAAATTTTTTTTTGATTCTTAATTTTAGGAGAAACACATCTGGCAAAGGTGATTCATACCATTCAACATAACTGAACAATCCAATCCAAGTCTCCTGAGCTGAGAAAAAGCGACCTCTGAGCAATGAAATGTTCCTCTGGGTGAATGCACTGTACGTGAATGTTCTAGAATGTGATTCATTAGTTCAGGGATGGAGAGTCAACAGATGTTCTGTATCTTTTTACACATGCGTAACTTTAAACAAAGAATGAGTAAATGGTTGGTAAGTCTAAATCACTTTATACAATAGTAAATGAGGCAAGAGCACAGAGATTACGCTTGTTTCTTTATCATGGTTTTTATTCAGAGCTTGATTACACATTCACACAACGCTGCGGTGTGTGCTGTTCTCCTCTCAGCACAGAGAGAGACACAATGCTGCATGTGCTCTCTCACTTTTTTATAATACAATGAAAACATTCTCATTCAAGCATCGAGGACTGTGTAACAGTCTGTGACAGGCACATGCAGATCCCAGAGACTTACAGCACAGCAAACAAACATTTCATTTTCTTTCATTATCGCGAGGTGTCTGTGTAACTGATACTGTCTGCTGGTGTACAAAAAAACAGCAATGGTTTCTATAGAGATTTGACAAGAAAAATATTTGTAGCATTTGCATACTTTGCAAATCCATATGCACATATGTAGCAATACTATCCCGTAAATATGAATCCAGTACAACATGTATATAAGAATAATAATATATTCAAGATGTCTTCAGTTTAATGATATGTCCAAATATACATTTATATTTTCCTTCATCGTCAATGTATCTTAAGTTACATTTTAGGAATTCATTTTGTACGGTTCATTACACCATATGGACTTGACACATATACATCAAAGAGCAGTGTAATGTACTGAAACATATCAAGTATTACATAACAGACATTAAGTGCAAACACAGTTTTTAACTAATGCTGATTAACCTGAATGAGCTGAAAGCTGTTATATTGTGGCGATTGGTGATTTGACATTCACTCATACAAACTCACAAAGCTATAGTAGCTAATAAAAGAATCCTTCATGCAAAGCAACTTAAAGCACAAAGAAACAAAAATAATAATAATAATAATATTAAATGTAACAAGTGAAATATATATATATAATCATTAATTTGTCCATTTGTTACATTTTTAAAAATAGTTTTAAAAAGTTCAACTTTTTTGCCTACTGTACACATGATTGCTAAACAGGCATGACAAAAAAATATAGCTAACGGTGAATATAGTTTATGACCTTTCATTTAAACATCATTACTCTCCAACCCACTTCCCTCTTTTTGCCTTTTAACTCTTTGCCTTCGTCTTGTATTATTTCTAGCTAAACCCCTTAAACAGTAACAAAGACCAGCCTGGCTGAGTAGATGAGATCAGCCAGATAAAGAATGAAGTTGAGAGCGCTGAGCACCGAGATGGCCAGCAGCTTGTCCCACGAGCACAGGCCGCTGCTGGAGCCACAGCTGTTGGGTCTGTGGCTTTGGCCTCCATGCTTATTGTCAAACTTATATATGGGCCAGATGATGGTGGCGGACAGATACAAGCCCACAGCCAGGAGGGCATATGAAGACAGGAAGCGGGCGAAGGAGAAGGGCAGGCAACCTGTGCACTCTCCTACGCACATCACGATGATGGCTGCCGAAAAGATGAAGCAGATGCAGTACACAGCCAGGCACCACTTGGTCGCCGCATTCTGGTCATACGATATCGGCTCGCTGATAAAGACGAATATAATGCAGGCGACGAAGGTCTCGCACACCTTTAGCAGCCCTGGTGCTGTGGCCATGTAGCCGGCCACCTCTCCCGGACGAGCCTTACTGAGACTCACCTCGCTTAAGTACGCGATGGTGGCGAGGCAAGAGAATACGGTAGATGCAATGCGGCAGTTGATCATCTCACTGCGACCAGCAAAGCCTTTCAGGAAGTAAAGGGGGAATATAATCGAAGCGGAGAGACAGAGGAGGGAGGCGTAGCAGGCGAACGTGATCGGAAAGTTCTTCCATGAGACAGGGGCGCGGGTCTGGAGGCCAAACATTTCCACTAAGATTATCAGAAGAGTTCCAACGAAACTGAAACTCCAGCAGAACACGCACCAGTCACCCGTGCCGTGGGTTAGACCCGCTCCATAAAGAGCTACACTGAATGCTACACAGGCGAAAACCATGGCAGCCACACGGGCCCAAAGGAGAGGTGAGGAACGCAACACCACCGGCATGATGGGCTCACAAAAAGACGATTTACAGGCCAATTAATGTCAACTGTGAGTAACAGGAAACAGGATTCTGTCTCTTCTTGGTTGTCTAGGAAAAATGAACAAAAAGTAATCAGTCAGTCGTAAGAAAAGAACACAATATGAACAAAACATCTAATAGATTTCTCACAGATTAAAGGGAGAGTTCACACAAAAATTACAATTCTGTCATCTCTGCAACTCATGTCGTTGCAAACCTGCTTTTTCTTCTTTGGAACAGAAAAATCAAATATATTTTGACTAATTCTATCCAGTCGGAAGATATCAAACATATTTGATATGTTGAGATGCTTCTTGAACATTTATGCATTTAGCAGAAATGTTCCAAAACAAGCTCAAAATCTAAATATCAAACTTTTATTTTGAGCCAATTTTAGAAAGCATATTGTTTTCGTTTGTCATGCGTCTCCTAGCAATAGCAACCAGGCGCATATTTCTGTGTGACTTTGTGTATGATGCCAAGTTTGATGCCAAGTGTTTAAAAAATCTGTTCAGATTATAAAAATCACATGTTGTGTTCCTCAATCGGGTTTGCAACAACATGAGTTTGAGTAAATGATGACTTGAATTTTTGGATAACTTATCATGTTAATATCAAGGCTGAGTGAGGTTGTTTACGGAGTATAATCAGAAGTTAATCTGTGATTACAATCATTTCAATTTTGGTCACATGTTAAGATTCCCCACAATGTGAAACTTGTAGAATAATAAGCCATGTATTCATGCAAATTAAATGGTCACATACTGAATAAATTTGGTGCTCTACAACAAAACATCTCTGAGACTCTTTCAGGATTCCAGACTGGGAGTCTCAGTAACGTATTCAAGCTATTTAGACAAACTCTGCACAAGCGAGACCTTTACTCAACCCTACAGTCCATCTGTCATCAACCTTGTGGGAGGAGCCAGATAGGCTAACAATCGGAGCATTGAGGCCCCCTCCCAGCCCTCCTACACAGTTCTGTAACAGCCAGGAATACCTCCTTCATCTTGTCGGAGAGGTTCAAGTAAACAATAGAGGCATGCATGTTTACATTTTCAGGGTTAAGTGGACAGAGGAGAACATAGTTAGGAAATAAGGGACAAAAAGTGATAAAGACGTAAAAAAAAAAGCATAAAGCCACGCAGATGCATTCAGAGCCACATATGGACAGACAGCAGCGGGGTTTGAAAAAGCATGCCCTTTCACCTCACAACGACTCATATTTTAAACACAGGCGGGAATAACTTAGCTGTGAGTCATTTATCCCTTGCTCCCTCCTTTTTTCCCCTCTCTGCCTCTCTTACGCTCTTTCTCTGCCTAGTGTCAAATTTTCCAACTTGCTGATCTATTCCAGATGTTCTGCATCCCATCAAACTGCAAAATGAGAGGGATGTGCCGGTGTTTTCCACTCAATTCCCCCAACCTCTCTTTCCTTACTTGCAGTTCTACCTCACACACCCCTTTAAACCTTTTTCTCTTTTTATACTCCTTTCGTTCCCTTTCAGAATTGGTTACTACAGAAATAGAATAGTGAAAGGGGTTTCTCCTTGCTTTAAACCTTCTCCTCCTCAAAACCTTCTCCTTGCTTTAGTTGTCATCCACTCATGGCTATTTAACATGATGAGATGGAATATGCTGCTGAATTCAATGCAATACACAATTATTCAATTTCTCCGTCAGCAGCAGAAATTGCCTATGTCAAGGAAAAAAAAATCTGTAATTAGATCCAAGGAAACACATATGAGAAAACAGGACATGACATGGCTTGGTGAGCTTGACACAGACCTAGACGAGGGCACGCTGATGTCTGAGACATGCCATATAGGTTATAGGCTATAACTAAATTTTCTCTCTTAATCTGGTTACAGTGCTGCTGTTTGTCTGTACAGGAAAAAAAACAAGCTCTCTACAGTCCCTGGTGCAGAAAGAAGGGGAAAAATGAATGTGCCAGCTGTATTGACTGCCAAAATGTTTTTCAGTGAAAAAAATTACTTTTTGTATCAGAAACCGTTTGGTCTTATGAAGACCAGAATGGAAGGAAAAGCATTATTTCAAATGGAAAACATCAAATTAAATTAATTTTATGTAAGCTATTATGGAAGCAGTGAATCAAAACAAATTGTATTAAATGAACGGATCAATTGAATAAAATGGCTAAAAGCGACAGGACATGAAAATGACATTTAGCTAGAAATGAGATCACCATCCTGCCAGACACGACAAGTGGGCGCGCCTCCCCACGTGCCGCGCCCATTCATACAGGATATTAATTTTACTTTAAAACTTTTGAAAGTCAGAATGTCAAGTAAATAAATATAGAAAAGTACATTTCTGTCTCCGTCATCATTCAAGATGCAAGATTTCCACATGCGAGCGCAACACGTGACGGGTGCTCGAGGAAATAGCGTAATGGATTTTACATTTTATTTAATTTTATCTGACCAGTTGATCGCTACGGATGCACACTACGCCACAATCAAAGTCTGAATGAATAAAATAATGTATAATATAAAGCATTTGTATCGCCATCATCAGAATCCAGAACGCAAGTAAAACACTTTCTAGCTATGGCTATAAAGAATGTAGGCTAGCCTATGTCAGTAGCCAATACATACATAAGTAAACATAACGGTGCTGGCTGCTCTAAACGTCTGCTTTTAAAAAGATGAAAGTAAACTATCCTCTGCCTCTTTCTTACCCTTGTCCCGTTGTCGTTCTCTCGAAGTGCTCAGTCTGAAACAAGTAGGCGCGGTCTTGGATCTGACTTTTCAATCAGTGAGGAGACTTTAACCCATGTTTATGAGGGATACCCCTCCACCCACCCCCAATCCGCCCATTACATGCCAAATTAGGTAATATGTTCTCCCTTTCTCGTTCTCTCTCTCACTCTCTTCTGCTCTTTCTTCAACCCTCAAATAAACTGCAAATGCTCCTCACAAAAAATTTCTGAGCATGAGCAGACGATTTACTTTCTCATTCATGCAGTAATTCAACTGAATTCAGCCAAAGAAAAATACTGTATTCAGTATTTACAGAGTAGGCCGCACGTCTTTTCTTGTTTTATTGACTATGAACTAAACTTCACCACCATCTTTCATATTCTATCCCTTCCCAGCATAGGATAACAAGAAATCTGTCTGCTTAGTTTAAACAGTCATACGCGTACGTAGGAGCCATTACGCCCATTTCAAAATCTAAAATTTTGTTTTGCATTGCCTGCCTATCTCTGCCGATTTCGGAGTCTCCAAATGAATCCATTCTGCGACTTCTAAATACATAATTCAATTTTTAAAGACAAAATTATAGGCTTAAGTGCAGGGTCCGACTGGAGCAGACACGGGAGTTTTGTCGCTATGGTTACACACACACACACACACACACACACACACACACACACACACACACACACACACACACACCGTTGGCGGTGAATGAAAGATTTTTGAAATGGGATGTCTGGAACACGTTTGTCGACCATGATCGCTCGCGCATGCGCATCTTGGTGACACGGATAAATGTACGCAGCAATATGAATGTTCCTGGGAGATCCGCGCGGGATGTGGAAGCGCGCAAAAGTTTCAGAAATGTACAAAAAGTGCCCTGGCCTTGAATGATAACAAGGTAAGGAAAATAAGACTAAATCAAAATTAAATAACCAAGACTAGGTTGACTATGTGATTTTTCTCAGGAGATGTTTTGAGCATTTTAGTTCAGACGCCGGATTATCAGCAAACTGCCAAGACAACCAGCTGGCTACTCAAAATAAACTATCTATTCTATTCAGTCAGCATATTTGTGCTTGATCTGTGTGAATTACAGAAATACAATTCTGTACCTACTTTTAGCTACCAAGCAACCTTTCCACAAGGATTGATTAATTTTATTTTTGTGACTTGTGCATATAGGCTACCTTGGTGTGAAATGACGCAGAGTAGGCTGTGTGTATGTGTGTTGTAGTAAAGAGAGAGAATGGGAGAAGGATGCTTGTGTGAGGTGGACCTGGTCACCACAGACCCAAATCTTCTCAGCTGTTGCTACTGTCATATGCTGCACTGTCTCTTCATGTGGCACATTATGTTTGGCACATTGTATGGGTCACTATATCATAACAAGGCAATACAATATGTAATCAAGTGATGACTGATTAACAGCAATGTAAATGCTAAATGTCCTACATACCTGTTGATACTACAACAATGCAAAGTATATGCTCTTAACATTGCAGTTTTTCACATATCATGTAAGACTCAATTTCTCCATTTCTTTGCACAAAACTCTCCAGAAAGTGCCATTAAATGACCCCCAGGGGGTAGAGTCCCAGGGTAGAGTCCCAGGGGGTAGAGTCCCAGGTCTGCAGCATAGTGGGTCTCCAGCAGCTGGGATAAAATGAATGTTGTCATGCATACCTATCAGGATCTGCTGCCTCCATGACTATATCTTGTTGTGAGACAGGACTAACCCACACCACAAAACATTAAAACATAACATTAAAAGAATCTGTGTATATATAGAGTGACTTCTAAAGAATAGAAGAAGAAAAAAATACTATGGAGGTCAAAGGGGACCAGAAACTGTTTGGTTACCAACAATCCAACTTTCTTTAAAATATCTTCTTTTGTGTTCAACACAAGAAAGAAATGAATATAGCTTTGGAACAACCAAACTCTTGAGGGTGAGTAAATGGTGACAGAATTTTCATTTTTGGGTGAACTATTCCTTTAACTGCAAGTTATTGAACTATAGCCCCTGTATTTTATATTGTCTTTAATGCATGTCATTTGTCAACCATGTTAAAGAAAGATTTGTCAAGACAAAAGTAATTTAGTGGGCTTATCATGGATATTGATGATAAATATCACATTCTCAATTACAAATACTTTACCAACAAAAGTCATAAACTAAATAAATGTCCCAAAAGGGTTTATAAGGAGGGTGACAATAGTGAAAAGAAGTGGTATATATCCATTTCTATACATGTTTCTACAAAACGACATGCTATAAGATTGGGATGGTGTGAAACCATCATTCACATCCATAACCTAAAAATCCACAACCTTTAAAACCACTAAAAATACGTGCTCTGGTAAAAAGTTCACACGAAGTTATTATTCTATAACATCTTGGTATTTATTCTGTTGCTAGGATGCAGAGAGCATGTTACTATGGAAACCAGATGTTTGTTTATGCTGTAATGTGGTTAGAGTGATGTGTGATTCAGAGCGCATGTCCGCTCGCCGAGAACCGCTGCAAAAAGCGGAAACAGTGATTCCCCTCTCTCTTCTAACCACTCCCTTCCTCACAAGATGCAATGTTAACACATAAAAAGAGAGTGAGAAAATATATAGCTACAGAGAGAGGATAAGAGATGAGTCAGGAAGAGCGAAGCTGAGTATTAAGACAAAAATCAAATAGTGTTTAGTGATAGTGTTTTAAAAAAATTCAGCATTAGAGTGTTTAATCAGACTAAAAGATTTGTAATTATCGAACAGAACAACAGACACAAAATGACACACAACTAGCATATCTTAAATAAAATAATTATTTTTCTGCTAAGTTATCAAAAAGTAATATTCATTCTTAATTATTTTAATTATTAATTAATTATTGCAAATAAATTAAACTGTAATGTCATTGTTTACCAAATAAAATACAAAGTATAGTGTTATAAATATACATAATATATATGTATATTAATAATATATAATAGGCTATATATATAAACGTTGCAGGATTTACGATGCTCATGACTGTTAATACGCGTCATCACAGTCTTAGTCCAGTCATTTCAAGCCAAAATGGGGGTCAACCTAGAACAAATTGACACAGAAGCAAACTCAACTGATTTTGTATGCTCAATATGTCCTTAGTAAGGGGAAAAAGCCCAGAAGAATCCCATTAGGGGAAGTTTCGAAAAAGACCAAAATATTGCCTATTTATACGCCGGCCTATTCATTCTTTTTCGTGAACAGGGTAAAAATGTTAACATTTAGATATCATCCTGAAAATTACTGAGTTGATTACTTACATCAAGACAAACAAAAAATGTATTTCAAGTTTTTTTGAAATTGTTTGTTAACATGGACAAACGGTGCATAATCTAATTACGTATATGCTAAATAACACAACATATATCTAAACATTGGGTATAGCCAGGTGAAAATGTCTTGTAGAATCTTGTTGACATCTTACAGTAAAAGACTATAGAGGCAAACAAATGTCACCATAAGGGGCAGAGATGCAGTCATTCATTCAAGATCCACTCAACTGTCATAAGCTGTCACTCAGGTATAAAGATTTCCTTTTGTTTCTCCTACATGGATTGATTGTTTGAGCAGCCACTTTTTATTTGACCTACCTTTTGTCTTCTGCATTCTCCTTACCTGTGTCTCCTGTTCTTCCCTCAGACTCATCCCCCAGAAACAGTCCCACGGACCCAGCCCTAAACCCCATCTCTGCAATAATAATTAATAAAGGCTGGTTTCTAAAGTACTTCTTCCTGCCTCTATGTATTAATGCTCATGAGTAGCCTAAATGGGATCCATTCAGACCTTAACATTAAGTCTTTTACTGTTATATGTCAACAAGATTCAACAAGACATTTTCACCTGGCTATACCCAATGTTTAGATCTGTTGTGGTATTTATGCAAATTAGCACAGATTATGCACGTTTGTCCATGTAAACAAACAACTAAAAAAAACTTGTAATACATTTTTTTTGTCTTGATGTAAGTAATCAACTCAGTAATTTACATGGTGATATCTAAAAGTTAAAATTTTTACCCTATTCACGTGAGAAAAAGAATGAATAGGTGTATGATTAGGCTATATTTGGGTCTTTTTCGAAACTTTCCCCTAATTGGGATTCTTTTGGGCTTTTTTTATCTTACTCAGGACAAAATCAGTTGAGTTTACTTCTGTTGCAATTTGTTCTACCTTTTTTCATAAAATGACTGGACTATCTGTGAAAAGGATCCATAGTGAGGGACCCTTGAGACCTTGCTAAAGGGAAGGGATTGGTGTTGTATGCTACCACCTACTGGTGAGAACCAAACACACATGGTGAAGTACGGTCACTAAACACACACACACACACAAATATGACTCATTCCAGAATGGGGTACATTTCAAGTAGAGACAGAAAACAAAAAATAGGATTTTTTGTTTCTGTTAAACTTTTTTTATTTTCATAGAATGCAGTTTAAATTCAACATTTTCAATATTTGCTGATCTTAAACTTGTAAGATTTAAAATATTAAGAATGAACATCAGTGTACAATACAGAAAAATCTGTCAACTCTGTTATAGACAAATTGGGTTGACAATAACAGAGTTGACGATAACAGAGTTGATATTTTCAACCATTTTGTGCTTTAGCTCAAAATGCTAACCTCAATACCACATGGCATGTCTAAAAACAGAATTTTATGGGTTTTCACCATATTATCGTTTTTTGAAAAAGTGAATGAGAGATTCACTGCAATATCACAATAATAGATTTGACAAATACTTAATCTACTATTGGTGTATCCTAAACATTTTGTCCAAATTAATGAGAGAAGAATAATGACATACTGCTTTCCAGAATTTCCCACCAGAGGAAATGACATCCCTTGGTGCAATTCACATGCTTTTTTTTTAAACAAATGCTTTGGAGGGTTTATTTTGTTTTATAACAGAAGTAATAGAGTTGACCAGAACGTAGGGACAGACAAAATCTATTTTTTTTTAATTAATTAAATTGCATAGAATATATATTTTCTGTATTATTTGTAATTGATTATATAACTTAATAGAGTAAACATAAAAAATATTGTAAAATTAGACTTATTTGTTTCATGATAATTCAAGTTGAATGTATGAATCAGGAGGCAGAGACAGTCAATAATAGGTGGAGTGGGAGTCATTTAGTTCATATTTCCAATTTTTTTTCCCTAAATATACATAAAGCATTATTTTTTAGAGATAGTTTAATATAATTTGTGTTATTATTCAAAACTGATTCTTTTTTTTTTAAATAAAAGAAGGTTTATCTAGGAAACTCGAAATGTACACCCAATTCTAGAATGACATATATATATATATATAAATTCTTTTTTTTCTTCTCTTTTTTTACTTTACAGTGACTTTTGAGAGGGGTACTGGATCTTGAATGGGAATAGTTTGTGTTAAATTTGCAGGTTTACCTCAGGTCAGGTGTTCACCTGCGTCCGCGCGTGACAACTGCAATGGCAATTTGAATGCAGGCGAGGGCAGCGTGTCATCATCACACACATCAGCTGCAATTAAATCACACTGCGATGTCAGGAAGTAACAAGGCGCCAGCGTCGTCAACATTCTGGAGGCGAGATACTAGTCTTCCTTATTTGTCGTTGAAGATTTCTCCGTGTCAGTCACTTTTAGTGTTAACAGACTCTTAATTGTTTACCTGTGCCGTGTATGTCAGTTTAACGTGTCCGGTTACGCAGTAATGCAGGTGGACGGCTTTTACTAGTAGTTTTGTCTGGAAAGCACGACAGGATTTTTTCCATGTTGGAAAGGACTCCGCTGTGGAACTCAACGAGGGTGTTTTGAAACAGGTAAGTTAGATTTATTGTTGTTATTTTGATTCAGGCTACTTTCATGTTTTTAATTGCCAATCTCTTAAAAGACAACTAGTCAGATTTTCTTAACTGCAAGTAGATGGTTTTAAAACGTGTCCTCCTGACGTTTGTCTCGTGTTTGTTGATTATTGGATGCGTTTATTGCGCTGTTTTATATTGAAATACATTTGCTATGCCAGGATGGATTTTGTACATTTGTATTTTTCTTTAAAAATCAAAATAATAATAATTTTATATATATATATATATATATACATACATACATACATACATACATACATACATACATACATACATACATACACAAAAAATATAATAACAAAACCGGTGCCTTTCTATGTTCCGAAGGTTTAGGAAAATATCACTTTTACTTAAATGTTAACATGGTTAACACGTAGTCGCATGCAACAGAAGGAAATAATCAACCAAATAGACAGAGAAAAATAGTAAAGAATAAATATAGATATAAACAGCAGTACTTAAACGCGGAAATTGAAAATATTTTGTTTATTATTAAATTAAAACTGTTTAATTTTGTTTGTGTCACAGTTTATGCTTATTTATTAACTGCTAACAGTTCCCACATTACACAAGTTTGTACATGTACACGGGTGGTCTGACTGCTGTTTCTCGCTCAAACTTACATTCTTTCTTCTCCAGATCCTTATCATGCTGTACTGTGCACTGCGGTATGCTGATGCATGTTTGTGCGTTTAAAGAATGAATGTCACCAACTGCAAGGGTACAAGCTGCCAGGATGAAATGGTCCACACTCTGCAAATTTACCCCAGGTTGTCCATCAAACCTGGGCAAGGATGCACCCTCAGGGTCCCAAAAGAGGCAACAGTTGCCGCTGTCATCAAGATGGCTCTCACCGCACTTAGCTTGGACACATCCAAGCCTTACATCCTTGTGGAGGTCCAAGAGTATGGTGGAGAGGAGTGGGTCCTTGAAGCAAGCGATCTGCCTGTTCAAAGAGTCCTGCTCTGGCCTAGAAAGGCCCAAGATAAGCACTCTCAAAGTGATGGATACTATTTCGCCCTTCAAGAGGGATGCAAGGATGGATCCATCCAGTATGAGGTTATGACGTCTGTACGGCGAGAAAAAGTTGCTCAGGGACTTGTGACTCGGGGTTTCGTTGCGCAGCAGCCTCAGGAATATGACGATTTATGTAACCTCCCCGAGCTGACAGAGGAGAGCATCTTGGGAACCCTAAGACATCGCTTCCACAATCAGAAGATCTACACATTTGCGAGCAACATTCTTATCGCTGTCAACCCCTTCAAGTTTCTCCCCATCTACAATCCCAGATATGTCAAGATGTATGAGAACCACACTCTGGGCAAGCTAGAACCTCACATCTTTGCCATTGCGGATGCAGCCTTCCACACAATGCTGAACAAACAGGTTAACCAGTGCATCGTCATCTCTGGAGAGAGTGGTTCTGGTAAAACCCAAAGCACCAACTTCCTTATCCACTGCCTGACTGCCCTCAGCCAGAAGGGCTATACTAGTGGAGTGGAACGAACTATCCTGGGGGCAGGCCCTGTGCTTGAGGTGAGTTCTGCTGTAGGTTTGAGGTTTATTTTCTTCTTTGAAGTTAGCAATCTAGTTGTATTAGGAAACCAGGACCGGATGTAAGATGGGAAGTTATTTTGAGACTCTGATGTAATTGCTGTTTTACGAGGATTATGTCCGTTGGATGAATGGTGGCTATTGTAGCCTTGTTCAGGGTTCAGCAATAAATGGTGTTTCTTCAACTATGGGACTTTTTGCACTTCAAGAGACTTTTTCATTTCCACCACATTTCAAATGATGCATTGGGTTTAATAGGGTTTCTGTTGTAGAAATAACGGACATAAGTTGAGATCAGCTTCAAGTTCAGGCCGAGACCTGAGTAGGTTGAGTCTAAATGTGATGATACACAGCCAGGGCAACTTTTTAAGCAATGCTGCTGGGCAATGTTGCCGTAAACGGGCAATGTTGCCGTAAACGGGCAACCAGGTGAGACACAGGGCCCACGACCGATCTAAAGTATCCAGATAGAAATTTGTTGGCTATTCTCAATGGGAAGTGCCCAAGCATCATTGCTCAAAGTTCCCCCGTGTATCATCGCCTTAAAGGGGTGGTTAAGTATAATTTCACTTTTCTAACTTAGTCTGAAATGTTGCTGTTTTAGTATAAACAACATCTGCAAAGTTACAACGCTCAAAGTTCAAAGCAAAGGAAGATATTTGCTTTTAAAGAAAAGGACTACAACAAACGGCTGGTAGGGACAACACGACATTCCTCCCGGGTTAGTGACATCACCAACCCTAAAATGTACATAAACCCCGCCCCCCGGGAACATGCAGTCCATGTTGAGAAGAGGAAAAGTTGTTGAATAAGAGTACATTTGTGAGTCAGCTCAAACTTTAGCATCCATCTTTTCACATGCAATAGAAATTCACTCTGTGTGCATCTCACAACAGTTCCTAAACGAGCGATTTATAGATTACCATGACAGAATATCCTAATTGAAGATAGTTAACTCCACATCAGCAACATAAATTCATCAACTAACCGTTCAGAGACGTCCTGTTGCATTCTACATGTTGTCACTTCTTGAGTCTCTCCATCTTTTTTGTCTGACTCCGTTTTAACATTAAAGGCAGAACAGTTTCTGTCATTTTAGTGTGTCTGCGTGAGGTAATCGCAGCTGCTAATACACACGAACTCTTGAAACCCCGCCCTCTGCAGCAGCTCATTTGCGTTTAAAGGATCAGGCACAAAACGGTTGCGTTTTTGCAAACCCTCAAAAAGTGACAACTTTAACATGCTATATAAAAATATTTTTTTAATCCTTTATAAGCTAAATTGAATAACATTTTCAGTGTCCAGGTCAGTTTTATTTTCCGTATAATTTATATACTTTTATTTAGCTTTTAATATTAATATTTAGCTTTTATTTTTTCAATTTTCCATTTCCATTTTATTTAAATTTTAGTTTACATTTTCTTTTGTCATTTTATTCTTTATTTGATTTTTATTTCATATTTTATTTAAAAATATATATTTATATATACCTTTTTAAATTATTTATATTTCAGCTTTAGTTTTTAGTAATCAAACTTATTTATTTCAGGTATTTGCCAAGGCGACATTTCTAATTTCTAATATAATTTTGTATAAAAATCTACCCCCAGGACAAAAAAGTGCCTGACGTTGAAGAAACACCTGAACAAATGGAATTAGATCCACTACTTAAGTTATTTTCTTTCTTGTACACTGTATCTTGTCTATAACTGTGATCTCATGATTTATTATTGGGTTGCTCGACTCATCTCAATATCTTGATCTACTGATAAAGAGTCTCTTTCAGGCGGAAATGATGACCTCTGTGCAGGAAATGGCTTGCCCTCTCGTATTTTGCATGCTTTTAGCGGTTCATGTTGATGACTGTTAACAATGTAACTCTGAAAAGTTTGATACTGTCCTTAAATCAAATTCAACAAATTGTGTAAGAATGGTTTCCCCTTTCCTCCCTTAAGCATGGTCAAATAAGGATCTAGAAACCATTCGGCCACGCCACAAGCAAGGGGACTTTCACATAGCTTCCTCTGCATCTCCCAGGGAAAAGGGGACTCCGAACATACCTCTGTCTCCTTGAGCACGATATTTTTAGGTGTTACTATTGTTAATACATAAACAATGAAGTGAATTCACAACACTCTCAGGAGTTTGAGTTTTTCCACTGTTTATACAATGTGTTCATTACAAGTTTGGTATATCTCTGAACAGTCCACTTCCTACATTTCCTGTTCAGAATTTAGTATGAAGTGCCACTAATGTGCTAATGAAGTTCTACTGAGGAAATAGCTCATAATTCATGGGTTTTCTTTACTGTGGCCTGAAGTCCCGCCCCCTTAAACTGAGTTGTCAGTCACCGTTTGTCATGCACTGACCAAGTGGGATTCTCAATCTGATCCGAAACCGGTCAAACAAGTTCTCTGTTTTTCTTAAAGCTTTCTTTTATCAGCACGTCAACGCCCCTCTCAGTTCTGCAGTTTTGCTTACAAAGAAAGTAAATGGTTAAGAGGAACAAGCGACTTGTGTTATGCCTTGGATGTTTAAAATAGAATTTCTTATAAAGAGGGTTGGAAAAAAACATTAGGTTATGTTTTTGTGTTATGGCTAAAGGAAGCAGAACAAGCAAGCAGATTGAGACTGTTAAAAACGTTTGGTAATATGTTGAAGTTGTGACCATTAATATTTGATGAGAATTATTATTTAAACAAATAGATTAGATGATTATTGGATCTCATAAATTATAAATAAAAGATCCACTTGAAATGAGTCATTGAAATCCGTTTGTTCCCAGATTAGGTACCTTGATACACGACCGTTCAAAAGATTGATACTTTTATTCAGCAAGGATGCATTAAACTGATCAAAAGTTACAGTAAAGACATTTACAATGTTACAAAAATATCCATTTTTAAATAAATGCTGTTCTTTTGAATTCTCTATTCATCAGAGAATCCTGAAAAATCCTGCCTTGGTGGCACTCATTGACATCCATCCATAGTAGGAAAAAATACCATGGAAGTCAATGGGTGCTGTCAACTGTCGGGTTACCAACAATATTTAAAATATCGTTTGTGTTCAACACAAGAAAGCAACTCATACAGGTTTGGAACAACTTGAGGGTGAGCAAATGATGACAACATTTTTGGGTAAAATATCACTTTAAGTCCCTTTATTGTATATAAATGCTCTTCCAACTGAATAAATGTACATCTTTTGTAAAGGTAAAAATAAAATAAAAATTGTGGTAGTGCTATGATACTTTTTGGTACTTTTAAATAAGAGTTGCTTGCTTCATGATGGGTTCTATGGTCTCTTCTTTTGCTTATGTTGAATCAAAAACACCTAACCTGTCCCTGTATTCCACTTCATTAATTCATAGAGACCTTTGTGTATTGCCTTCACGTGGTGTACCCCTCTAACAATATGCACATTGTTTGGCTGGTAGTGTTATTTACACATGTACTACTGTTGAACTATTATGCATCACCACTAGAGACTCCACCTCCTTGGTAATTGTGTTTTATGTTTTGATTCAGACAGCTTAGCCCTTGTAGAGATAATGGAATTGTATAGCTCAACTCCACTGTAGAGAGTTCATCATTAAAAATCCATTACCAGCGCATTTGTTCCATTTAGACATTCATACTTATTCTAAATGTTCCATTTAGACATTCATACTTATTCTTTATCAGCCCGTTTTCAAGAAAATAAGAGGAGATATGTCTGAAATAGAGCCAGATATAGCCTAAGCAATGTGGGTGGCATATTTTGCAGTGGAAATTTTGGGCAAGGCAAGCATCATTTCTTTTCTTTTCTTTTTTGTGTATATATATACACACACATATATATATATATATTGATACTTATTGAGGAGAGATTTGCTTTTACCTTTCTAATTGATCAGATTTGTCAGCCTTATGTAGTAACCAGACTCGAGTAAAGTATTAACCATGTAGAACACTCTAGCAACTCTTTAACAGCATTCTTAAAAATACAAAAGACTTGCCAACTGCATAGCAATGTGCTAGAAACCATGTGCAACTCTTTTGTAGGGAAAAACTCCTATTACTTTTACTTCTTAAAATGTAAAAGTCTATATAGTGTTGGAAAAGTACTGAACAGATGTTTGAGAAACAAAAATGGGTCACAAAAAACTGGGTCATCATATCTTGAGAGTAAAATTTGTTGCACTTGCACTGAATTTTTACTCTCACTTTCACTGAACTTTGACTGAGAGTCTATTTTTGCATTTCAGTTTTCAGTTTCATTTGACAGTTGTAAGAGGTGCCAATGCACTGTTATGACATCTGAGGAGTGCAGTTGTGACCTTTGTCCGTTTACTTCTCCAGTGTGAAAGGAATAAGAGAGAGCTCTGGGCGAAGAGAACACCTAACTGCTGTTATATGTGTAGCAGTACAGTACTAGGCCTTGTTGTTGAGCTCTTAAAGAGATAGTTAGCCCCCCACCCCCAAAAAATAGATTTTTTTAGTCATCAATTACTCACTCTCATGTAATTCCAAACCCAGACTTTCGTTCATCTTCGAAACATTAAGATATTTTTTATTGAAATCTTAAGAGAGTTATGTCCCTCCATTGAAAGTATTCACCCAAAACTCTGAAAAATGTTCTTAAAGTGATAAATAAATCCATATGAATCGAGCTGTTTAGTCCAAGTCTTTTAAAGAGACATGATCACTTTATACACATTTTGAATCATCAGAGATTTAGTTGAATGGACTTAATTTATGTTCCAAAGATTAACTAAAGTTTTATGGGTTGTGAACAACATGAGGGTGAGTAAATGATTATAGAATTTTAATTTTTGGGTGAACTTACTTTTCTGTTTCATGTGTAGAAGCCCTGGGTGTTGGCTTTGTCAGAATACCAGAACGAGTCGGCATTTGTCAACATGTCAAGGCAGGCTCTGTCAGGCCATCGTATAAAAACTTGTCATTTGACAGAAGTAACATCTTTTTCTATTCACTCTATTCTGGTGTTTTATGACCTTCTTTCCTCAGTATTTGTCTTCCTACACAATTTGAACTTGGAAGTGGGACAAGGAAACTACTTGTTTAAAAACATTTTTACTACAGGATAAAGTCCTGAATGATGGTAATCTCACAGATCGTGTTGAAAGTATGCACATATTGAGAATCAATAGAGAGCAGTGTGAAAGCCTGTTGGTACATGTACACATGTCAAAGTCCTTCTACAGAATGTTTAGTTTTAAAAACTGCAGTGTGTAATGTATTCCACCTTTACCTGCACAAATAACATTACTAAATATGATTTCTCAAAAACTGCAACTTTCTGCAACAGTTCTGGAAAAAAGAGAGAAACCAAGATGTTCACTGAATAATGAATTTTTGTCTGTTACTCACACAACTTCTGTTCTGTTCAACTTCTTTTACTATCATATAACTTCATAAGACTTATAAGGATTTTTTATAAGTAATCTTGAGTGCTTTTATGTTGTTGTTGTTGTTATTTTGGGGTCAATTTTCAGAGGTTGGAAGCCCCTGACCACAACATGTTTTCATTGTATTGAAAAGAGTGGTTCAGAGAGTCTTCAAAACATTTTATTTTGTGTTCCACTCATACTAGTTTGAAATGACATGGCTGAATAAATGATGACAAATGTTTCATTTTTGGATGAACTCTTACTTTTAACTGGAACAGGAGGAAGTATTTTAGCGTGTGTAAAATTACACATATATTAGCATTAACTACATCAACAAATAGATCAAACTATAGGCCAATGTCATCTGAGTTAGATGTGCTCATTTGTTTGTGGTTCCTGTGGGTGATATAAAAAGGAGTTTTGTGCTGCCCACTAAAAAATGTTCTATTAAATTCTTGTCATAGACAGATTATTTATGATAATGTACTGTGTAGTTGAGCAACCAATAATAATGATAATCAGTAATGGGTCAAGAGTTGTCTGTCAGCATTCATGAAGACCAGATATCAGTGGGGGTTTTTTTTTTTTAGTCTGAAATATTTTTTTGTTTCCTCAAAAACAATTTGCCTATCTGATGCATTTCTCTTTGACCTCCTCAGGCCTTTGGCAATGCTAAAACAGCATACAACAACAACTCGAGCCGCTTTGGAAAGTTCATTCAAGTGAATTATCTGGAAAGCGGCATTGTGAGAGGGTGAGTCATCTGTGTACTTCTGCCTATCTTCTTCACACACCAGAACACCCACAGCTGAACATGACAAATGCATTTTATCTAATGAGGAAATGTTTATTTATTCATGTAAAATAAATGTTGAGCTGTGATGCTCATTCTGTTAACTCAGGTTAAGATCCACCATATGACATTTCCTGATATCATTCCTCCTATTCTCTACTCTTTTAAAAAAAAATGGCAGAAAGACAAAAAATTACTTGCCAGAATTGATCTGAAATTCCTAATACTGTTTGCTCAATGTTTCAGGGCTGTGGTTGAGAAGTATTTACTAGAGAAATGCCGTCTAGTATCCAGAGGAAAAACTGAAAGGTAAAAAAAAAGGAAAATCGTTGTCTATATCAATTTTACATTTGAATTAAAAGTGTCGGAGACGTGAAAAAATGTATCGCAACAACATGAATTCCATGCCTGTTTGTTATCTAACCTGCAGGAATTACCATGTTTTTTACTATCTATTGATTGGGGCCTCAGAAGAGGAGAGAGATGAGTTTAAGCTCCTGCGGCCCGAAGACTACCACTACCTCGAACAAGTAACTCAGAACAGCCATCACAAAGAATCAGTGTTCCTTAAAGGGGTCCTATTATGCTCTTTTTTACGAAGAGTTGATTTTGTTTTTGGGGTGTTCTAGAATATGTTTTGATGCTTGATTGTTCAAAAATGCATTATTTTTTACATATTTTACATTACAGCACCTCTCTCCTCAGTCTGTCTCGAACGCGCCGCCTAGGTCCTGTTTCGATGAAGCCCCATCCTTACGAAAATACAAAATGTGCTGTGATTGGTTAGCTAGCCCAGTGTGTTGTGATTGGCACTGTGTAGCTCATGTTCTGGAAATGTTCCGCACCTCCACAACGGCGAGTTCTACTCTATTTTAAATATTAAGGATATGGCGTGAATTTCAAACCAATTCGAGACGATTAAGACCCTGACAATGTTAACGAACAAGAGGATCGTGCAGAACGGATTTCATTCACGTTAACAGGACGTTTCAGAGTTGTATGTTTTTTGTAATTTTCTTATACATTATAGATACAATGTTATCCACCATTTAACTGTGATTTTTGTCGGAAAACTAAGGTAATACAAAGAGTAATCGGTAAAAAAAAAACATGGTTAATCTTCCTGAGGGGCGGTAAACCTTCTTACAAATGCAAGATCGTACAAAAGCTACAGAAAACAAGCTGTTCTCCATAAAATGTGCAGCACATAGATAAACGTTGGGGTTACAATGTTCAGAAGCAGTGTTAAAAATAAATTTTAACCACTTTTAAGTTTGTCCGTCTTAAGATGGCCAAACAATGGGTTTTTGGAACCGGGGGTGGGAAAATAAGCATATCTTCAACATAGCAGCAACACTCTTTATCTTCTCTAGCGCTGCTCAACCAGTCCTCAGCCCCCTTTTTTTGTGTATTCCGTGGGCGCGGATTATTTAAATGAGTAACATTGTGACTTCATAAGAACCGGAAAAATCGCGTTGTAGTCCAAACGAGACATTCATTGTAGTTCTTAAAGGGACAATGTGTACTTTTTTTAGGTATTTTATTATATAAAATTAATATTTTTATTCATAAATATGTCCTCAATGGTGTACAAATACCTCTGCTAATTATCTGACTTATCCTCGTAAACAAAGAATTTATTATCTTTATATACATGGGACGGGTAGGTCCACGGAGGCTACCATGTAGTTTCGCCATCTTGAAAAACTGTAATAGCAGAGAGGGACAAAAAGTACTAGGCCAACACGTTTCCACAACGCGTTTTCGTTCGGAGACAGCGCCACGTAACTGAAAGCAGCAGAAACGGAGGAGCAGAGCAGTGAGAGGCGCTTGTCACTGTCCCGGCAAGTTTCACAGTCAGTAATTCATACTGTAACATTCGTTTGTTCGTTGTGTCAAGTTACAGTTTGTTTGAAAAAACAAACCTGTTTACCCGAAGGAACACTCGACGAAGTGCTATTAGAAGACATCCTGTCATAGCTTTTTGGTACATAACGGTTACCGTAGATTCAACACGCATTTGGAAAAGCGAGGCGCTGGAGAGCACAATTCATTTGAATGCAAAATACAATTTCACCGCTAGATGGGAGAAATTCCTACACAATGTCCCTTTAAAGTGGATTCTGTTAAATAAAATATCTCCCTTTAGAGTGGACTTTGAGCTTTGTAACGTTGCAGATATTTTTTTTATGCTCTAACAGCAACATTATACAATAGCTTAAGTGGAAAAAGTGGAAGAGCATAATAGGACCCCTTTAATGAAGCTGTTTCAGTTTTAATTTGCATTCATAATACTCTCAATTGTCTTCGGGGCAACAATGACATTAAATGGAGACCTCTTCTTGAGCTTGTCAGATTTTTGTCCTGAGAAAAGGACCATTTCTTTTCCTGAGAATGATCATTCTTCCAAGACTAAATTTTCTGGGCTGTCCTGTCCATGTTAATTGTATAGCTGTTAATTCATAAATTGTATGGCAACAATTGTCTTTTTTTTTTTTTTTCATTATTTGTTTACTCTTCTATGTTTACTCCTCACAGGAAATACCGATTTTGGAAGATCAAGCTGAAATGAAACACGAATTCAGGAGACTTCATCAGGCCATGGAGATGGTCGGTTTTCTGCCTCCGACCAAAAAACAGTAAGTGAAAAATGTTTTCAAGTAAAAAAAATTTTTTTTTCAATATATATATATATATTGGCTATGATAATGCTGTTTGTTGCTATAATGCTATCTCAGTCTGCATCTTAAAGTACTATTCTCTATTAAAATATTTTGGTATGTCTTCCTAGCGATTACATTATAATTAATTATTATGTTTAATTACAAACATAATAATGATTATTAACATTTATTATTTTTGGATTGTGTAATCTATAATGTTTATTTAGCCCTTCTAAAACCATTACATTTACAATGAGCTGTACTCCAATAATTACCCATAAAAAGTAGATATCTATAAATACAGAATAGTGTTATACTGTAAAAAATAAGATTTATGGTGTTTAATTAGGTTTGTCCTGGAGGGATTATGTCACACTGCTGAAAATTTAGCATCTGTATGCATGACTAGGAAATGAAGAATTCTGCTCTGGAACAAGTCTGTGCTTGTCATGGAGGGGGAAAATACATCAAGACTTTCAATATGCACTGTGCTCTTTTGGCCACGATGTACAGAGTGCAATAATGTCAGACCTGACACATTTAGATCATTATGAACTGTCTTTCAAGGAACAGCAATGTTTCAGTGTTAAATGTTCTGGCAACTAACAATTGTTAGAAATGTAATTATTTGAACAAAATAGTAACTTATTCAATTATATTTAAGATGCATTCCCATGTGCCATATGATTTACAATGTAAAATTACCTACAATTACCAAAATGTACCATGGTTATATCATGTAGCTTAGAAATATTTTCTTTGGAAGGTGCCTCAAATATATTTTGGATTTAATGTGGTTCAACGGTTGATATCTTTTTCAGGATATTCTCTGTGCTCTCTGCCATTCTGTACCTGGGAAATGTGACGTATGAGCCAAAAGATGTTGGCGAGTGTCTTAAAGTTGGGCCAGATCATGTCCTTTCAGCTGTCTCTGACCTTCTCAAGGTACCACTGACTACTTTAATGTTCAATATAAATTCTACATAGGAGGCTGAAATTCTGTCCCTCCTACTGGTTATTGTTAGCCTGGCTAACGTCAGACCACGTCTCATTGGTCTGGGAACCACATGTTCATTTTCTCGTATTTGAGGCGTGGTTTACGAATGCCCAGAGCCGTTTATTGGGTGCTACGAATGTCTATCAAATGCGCCTGTACGTAGCTCATAGCCAATCGTTTCAATTATACCAGATGACGTATGTAGAGCGAAAGAAATTAGACGAGGGAGAAGACGATGGGTCAGAGATTTATTTGCGTTCTAAACTACTTAGAACAATATCTAAGGCTGCATCGAAAGGTAACTTCACGTCTGCTGCCATGTTTGATCCATAGGTATAAACAAACTGCTTCGGTGTGTCGCATAGACGTCGTCATCGTCTTGCTGCTCCCTCCCCGTTCTGTGATTGGTCCCCTTGCTGAGGCGAAAATTTGGTCCATGGTATCCAGACTGCCTAGCAGCGTGAATAAAATCGCGCTGCGCAAAGGCAGTATGGGGAAACCCAGGCTAAGTTATTGTGGTAAACCACACAGAAATAGAAATTCTTTAAATAGTTTAATGCTCAACAGTAAACCTCACCTCCCAATTCTTTGGAAATGCTCTGCAGTGACATCTGTTGATTAACTTGGCCACCACCACTGCATGTTGAACAAATACATCATCATTCAACCAGTTGTATCATTACTTTTAGAGGACTCTTAGTGGATTGGTCCATTTGGATTCTTTTGGATTGTCTTTCCAATTTTCCAATAGGAATCTTTTTCCCATTTTGCACGTGTTAAGTTGATATTTGGCTGTCATTTGAAGGATTACACACTCTGTGACAGATCATGTGACAGATTTCTGTCATCCTATGTTCAAATGTGTCTTTATTACCGTAATGTTTGTTTGGTTACACTTTATTTCGATGGTCCACTTTAGATACAGTACTAAGTAACTGCAACTACAAGTCAACTAATTCTCGTTGGAGTATTAGTAGACTGTTAGGTTAGGGTTCAGGTTAGTAGAATAAGTTGACATGTAGTTGCAAAGTTACTTCTAGTCAGTAGAATGTCTGTTGGGGGAGCATCCAAATAAAGTTTTGATTTGAAAACTTTGCAGATATTAAGCAGACAGTCTACTAGAATTCTAGTAAGTGTTAGTTGACATGTAGTTGCAAAGTTACTTATAGTTAGTAGATTGTCTAAAGTGGACCGTTGATATAAAATGTTATCTTTAGATTTTATATAATTGCTCTTAAATTACAGGTTAAAGTGGAGCTGCTTGTGGAAGCACTGACTACAAGGAAAGCAATGACTGCTAATGACACACTAATTCTGCCTTACAGCCTCAATGAGGTAACTTCATCTATAATGTGTTGGGTGGTGCAAATGATGAAATGTTCTACTCTGTACCATTCATTCATTGACTAGTCATGTGTTAAATGCACATCTACCATACCTTATGTGTGAAGTCAGCTGTTTGAAGAGGTCCCTTGTTGCTCTATCTTCTTCATTTGTCTTTCTTAATTTCTGTACTCTAAGAATCTGCTGACCTCATGTTCAAACATTGTCATGTCTTTAGGCCATCACTGCCAGAGACTCTATGGCCAAGTCTCTGTACAGTGCCCTGTTTGACTGGATTGTCCTGCGAATCAACCATTCTCTACTCAACAAGAGAGATTTGGAGGAGTCTGTCCCGGTATGAATTCTGTCAAGATAATTTATATATTCAAATACATAAATTTTTATATATTTGACTAATTTCAGTTGTTTACTACCTATTATATATAATTGTGTATATGTGTGTGTGTGTGTGTGTGTATATATGTGTGTGTATATATACAAATCAAACACACACACAAAATTAAATATTATTTCTATTAAAATATATTTTCAAGATCAATGTTTGAATTAAAATTAATCTAATCTTTAAATTTATATTGTGATTATTCTATATAATATACACTACCAGTCAAAAGTTTTGGATCGGTAAGATTTTTAATGTTTTTAAAAGAAGTCTCTTCTGCTCACCAAGGCTGCATTTATTTAATTAAAAATACAAAAAAAACTGTAAGATTGTAAAATATTATTTATATTACAATTTAAAACAGCTGTTTTCTATGTGAATATATAGTGTATATATATTATAGAATATATAGTAATTTATTCCTGTGATCAAAGCTGAATTTTCAGCATCATTACTCCAGTCTTCAGTGCCATATGATTCTTCAGAAATCATTCTAATATGATGATTTGATGCTCAAGAAACATTTCTAATTATTATCAATGTTGAAAACAGTTATTTACAGGTATTTATTTATTTATTTTTATTTCAGGATATTTCAAAAGATCAGCATTTATTTGAAATGGAAAGCTTTTGTAACATTAAACTCTACCGTTCGAAAGTTTGGGGTCAGTAAGAATTTTTATTTTATTTTTTGGGGGAAATAAATAAAAGAAATCAATACTTTTATTTAATCAAGGATGAATTAAATTGATCAAAAGTTACCGTAAAGAAATGTCTAATGTTACAAAAGATTCTATTTCAATAAATACTGTTCTTTTGAACTTTCTATTCATTAAAGAATCCTGAAAAAAGAACTGTTTTCAACATTGATAATAATAATGAATGTTTTTTGAACATCAAATCTTCATATTAGAATGATTTCTGAAGAATGTGTGCTGAAAATTCAGCTTTGATAACAGGAAAAAACTAAATAACTTAACATAAAATATATTAAAATAGAAAACCGTTATTTTAAATTGTCATAATATTTATATATAGTACTGTTTTTTGTGTTTTTGTTTGTGTTTTCTTAATCAAATAAATGCAGCCTTGGTGAGCAGAAGAGACTTCTTTTAAAAACATTAAAAATCTTTTATCGATCTAAAACTTTTGATTGGTAGTGTATATTCTCTAATATAATAAAATTTACATATTTTGCTTTTTAATATATATATTATTATCATTATTATAATAAAATCTATTCAAAATGCAAGTTATGCAATGCAGATAAAATGGCAAACTGAAAGCATCTACTTTTAAATCCTTTGACATTGTATTTTATTACTATTATCATCGTATTTTAATTTTATTCTGTTCCTCACAGTGCTTATCCATTGGTGTACTGGACATATTTGGATTTGAGGATTTCAAGATAAACAGCTTTGAACAGTTCTGCATTAATTATGCTAATGAGCAACTACAGTATTACTGCAATCAGCGCATATTTACCCTCGAACAAGTGAGTTATGACATCTGAGTTGTACTTTGATGTCTCCTTTAATCATGGTGGACAGGAATGTCTGTAGCTCAGTGTCCATCTGCTCATGCTTGCATTGTGTTTTAGGAGGAGTATATGGCAGAAGGAATCACATGGCACACTGTTGACTACCCTGACAACATTGGCTGCATCAGTCTCTTCAGCAAGAAGCCCACCGGGCTGTTTTACCTGCTTGACGAGGAGAGCAAGTGAGTTAAATCCCATAAAGCAGTGTTTCTCAACTCTAGTCCTGGGGACCCACCTATCAGAATGTTTAGATGTCTCATTAATGCAAACTGATTCAACTCATCAGCTTCCTAGAGCCAGATTTACTAAACAGAGCTTATTAGCATGAGAGTGCAATCTCTGTTTGCGAAAGAAAGTTTTGCGCGTGATCTACTGAGGATGCGCAAATTAAGAACACAGACGCAGCCGGATCATTTCCGTAATGACCAACGCAATCTACCAAGTGCAGTGAAAATTAGCGTCTTTTTTTTGGACAGTATATAATGGCACAAATACAAGTAAACCGGCTAGCGCAAACCTTGTAAATCACCTTGTGTGATTCATTTAAAAACTCTCCTCCCATAAATTTGGTGTCTGAAAGGGAAACTCCTACAAATGCATATGGTCAATAAGGACAGCCCAAAAATAACCCCGTCCATGCCTGTTCAGTGCTAATTTTTCACTGTGTGTTTTTAGTAAATCCTGACAGTCATTTTTAACGCCAAAAGAGGGTTTGTGCTGCCGCTGGCGCAAGCTGTTAGTAAATCTGGCCCTTAGTGTGTTAAATAGGGAAGAATCTGACTCATTCTGGGAGGTGTGTCCCGAGGACTTGAATTGAGAAACACTGCCATAAAGCAATGCATATGTAACATTTGGACATAAAATGTATTTCCTTTAGTGGAAAGACAGTAGATTTGACTTTTTTACTACTTTAATCTATTAAACAATTTCAATCTATTTTTTAGCAATGGCTTTGTTTTAAAATCATGATTCCTCTTCATGGATAGAGATTCATAAATATTGTATATTGTTAAAAGCATATGCACACTGTTGGAATCCACCAGAAAAAGGATATCATCTGCTGATCCACTACTTGAATTGGATCTGGCAAGCTATTTAGAATGTATAGTACAGTAGCCTATGTGAATTAGGATGCATCTAATCACTAGTGTCGTTTTTAATAGTCCATTAATTAATATTCAGTGTTATGGTCTCTCTAGTTTTCCTCAAGCCACAGATAACACTCTTCTAGATAAGTTTAAGCAGCAGCACCAGGACAACGCGTTCTTTGTGCAGACCCCAGTGCGGGAACCAGCCTTTGTCATTCGCCATTTTGCTGGCAAGGTCAAATACCAGATAAAGGTAAAGGAACAGACCCTGAAACTAAACTTTCCCTTTGCACAAACATTTGGAGTGTAGTTGTGTTACAAATGATGTGTCTATGGTGGGAAAGCAATACTGAGAAGCATTTGTGATGTTCCTGCCCTATAGGACTTCAGAGAGAAGAACACAGACCACATGAGGCCAGATATTGTTGCGTTGCTTCGTAGTAGTGAGTGCAGTTACTTGCGCCAGCTGATCGGGGCTAATCCAGTGGCTGTGTTCAGATGGGGCATCCTCAGGGCCACGATACGCACTCTGGCTGTGTTTAACGAGGCAGGACGCAGCTGGGCGGAAAAACATCCAGGTTACGATCTACTAAAACCTTTTTACTTACAGCTTCCAGAAGTGGATTATCATTGATTTAACTTGTTTGTTTCCCTATCAGATCAGATCAAACGCTACTCCAGACGTTCTCTTGGGGAAATGAGGAGACCCAGCACTCTGATAGGGAGTCTAAAGAGGTAAATGGACTGGATCAGTTCCTGTAGACGTATGACCTCTTGATGGAACAATGGATTTATGCCAAATGAACGTGTTCGTTTTAAGTTTGCTCCATACAAATGACAGTTCAACTGCTTATAATTGCAACTCGATCTCTACAGCCAGAAGTCTTTGATTGACTTTTCCTTTGATCGTTCTGAAGAGGGTCCACTTGAAGCATTTGAGGACATTTTTGCAACATTTGAAAATAAGAAGTAAGTTCACCATCACTCGAGGAACTTACTGAGCTTGGGTTCTTCTCTATTTGATGATGATTTCCTTCTGTGGATTAAGAATCTAACTGAGGTTACTGCATGCATTTTCTGTAAAATGGGTGATTGAACTGACTAATTTCGGCTGTTTACTCCCTATTGGTTTTATTTGATTGTTTTTTTAGTATTTATCTCCTTTCTAAACTTTTTCTGATTTGGGGTTGGGGCGAATCAGGGAATTGCATGCCAAAGTTCTCCACTCCCTAAAGCAGTTTGGTGGTGAAGTTCCTCACAAGCTCCGTCTGTCCACAATTTCTATGAGGAAGTCTCGTCTCTTCTTTCAGTGAGTGGGACACATGTTCTGTGACCATCTGTCTGTGGCAGCACTTCTGCTCTCTGTCTCCGCTTGTGCTTATTATGTGCAATTTAATTGGGAAAAAATCAAAAGGGGTATTCTGTCCAGTTTTTTCACCCATCTTAATTGTAATCAAATCTTAATTATATGTTATTACTTTCTAGGAAGAACAGGCCAAACAGACACAAGCAGCTAATTCCTAAGGTAAATTCATGAATCATTTATTGTTGTTGTGGTTTTCGCTAAGGCTATTTTATAGAGTTTAATACTTGAATTCAGCAGAAATGCTTTAAAGGGATAGTTCACCCAAAAAGGAAAATTCTGTCATCATTTACTCTTCCTCAAGTTGTTCCAAAACTAACTGTATAAATGTCTGTCTTCTTCTGAACACAAAAGATATTTTGAAGATTAGAAGATATTTTGGTAACCAAACGGTTGACGGTAGCCATTAACTTCCATGGTATTATTTATTTTTTTTTCATACTATGGGAGTCAATGGGGCATTGGGCCTGTTTGGTTGCCCATATACTTCAAAATAACTACTTTTGTGTTCAACAGAAGAAAGAAACTCATACAGTGTTGGAAAAACTTGGGGGTGAGTAAATGATGACAGAATCTTGACAATTTTCATTTTTGGGTGAAATATCCCTTTAAATTTGATCAAAAGTGACTGTTAATACGTATACATTGTTACTAAACTTTCTATGTCAAATAAATGTAACTTGTGTATCATTTTTTCCACAAAAACTTTTCATTAATTGATCATGTTGTTAACGTAATAATAAGTGAAAATGTAATAATAATTGTTTCTTGACCACCAAATCAGTATATTAGAATTATTACTGACGGATCATGTGACACTGAAGACTGGAGGGATGGCTGCTGAAACTTCAGCTTTGTCATCATGGAAATAAATTACAGTTTTAAAATGTATTAAAATAGAAAACATTTGATCACAAGTTTTGTAGAATCGTAAGAAACAAATTAACTTTAGGTATATCCAAAATTCGACTGGTAGTATACATTACAAAGGCCCCCAAAATGTGTTTAGTGAGAAGAATATCAGAGACTTGGTCCAATGAGTAACCAGCAAGCAATGCCCTAGCAACCACACCGCAACATGCTAGCAAACTAGGCAACTGCATAGCAACGCCCTGACAACTACCCAGAAAACCCTAGCATCAAGGTGCCGAGTTGTACATGGGCGAGACCCACTTCAGAAAATGTAAAAAAATAAAAAAAAAATTTGCTCATTATATCTGTATTGTTTTCTTTATTGTATTTTAAAATGTCAGTGATTGCATCAAATGTGATTCTTTTGTTTTACTATACAGAATCTCATAGACTCACAGTCTCTGAAGTTCATCATGGCCCTCACGCAGCACAACCGAGCAACCAGGTCCCTGCTCCATCTGCACACCAAGAAGAAACCTCCGAGCATCAGTGCTCAGTTCCAGGTTATTATTATCTAAGTGTGGAAAGCATACGCTTCTTCATCATAGGGCTCAGGATTGGTTTGTTCCATCTCTGTGTGAAAGCCTCTTTTGTGGTAGTTGTAAATTAGATAAAAGGTTCAGACCCCTGAAGCTGTGGGGAGGTTTTGATATGATTTGCAGGGGTTTAATGGATGCTGATGGACAAATCAATGAGTCACATGATTTCATGTATTTTACTGCCCAGGCATCTCTAAACAAGCTGTTGGAAACCCTGAGGAAAGCAGAACCGTTCTTTGTCCGCTGTATCAGATCAAATGGTGATAAGGTATGGTGGAGAGCTATTGTATGTTTTGTGATTAATCTATTATGTGTATTACTTAGGTGATGGATCATCCTTCTTTTACATTTTGGTGAATGTGTTTACAGAGGGAAATGCACTTTGATGATGCTCTAGTCCTTCAGCAGCTGAGGTACACAGGCATGCTACAAACGGTTCGAATTAGGAGATCTGGCTATGGAGCCAAATTCACCTTCAAGGTAGTGTAACATGACTTTTTTTAATTAATATTTATTAATTAGGACTGTCAATTTAATGCAGATATCCACGGGTAAATAAATAAAATTTAATCATACCCCCTGACCCATACATACATTTCCTAATAAGGAATTTAATTTTATTAAATAACTTAATAAATATATCAAATAAATAAGAAAAGATAGAGGAATCCAGGTAAGATTAACAGACTTTTACAAAATGGATCGCTGTGGACTGTAATACTCATATATTGATTTTTTAAAATGTCTATATAATGCTTTACTGGTCTGCAAAAACAAGGCTTTTAATGTCATCCTCATTTGAAGACTTCTCAGCAGATGTTGATATTTTTAGAGATTAATTTGAATACTTAATAAGTATATCATACTTAATTTGATGTTTTTATTCGATTGATACCTTAGTGGGGAAAAAAAACTATACCAAAATGTATTTAAAATACTTTTATTTAATACTACGTATACTACAAATCCATTAATATATTTACTGACATATCGCTTGTGACTTACTGATATAATTATAATTAAACTTTATTTGGAGTACTACTTTATTGCACAATGCACATTTCTTGATTTTAAGCCTTAAAATGTGTTTAATATCACTATTAGTAAGGATAGTATGATCTCCGTATAATATCAATGCAAGATATTTAAAGTGTTCCTAAAGAATACTTGCAATAGTTCCACTTTAGCACAATCAAATATACTTAAGTATATCTTTAGTTGGACCTCAGCAATATTTCTGGATAATTAAAGTGCATTAAGTACAAAATTAGTTGTTCCAATTGAGCAGACTTTTAAGTACGGTATACCAATTTAGTATACCAAAAGTTCAATTGCAGGTATTTATATTAAGTACATACATTTGTAAATGTATTTGTAGTTTCCCTAGCATAAAATAAATGTATTTCAAATACATTTTATTTTTCACTAGGATAGCCCTGCTATTAATATTAGTTAATATGAAAAAATAAATTTGGTGGAAAATGAATGCAAATGGCTTTTATTATTTGCTTTATACAGACATGTCTAAAGGTTTCATCTTACATTGTCACCGCAGGAGTTTACAGATCAGTTCAGAGTATTGCTGCCAAAAGAAATATCAACACCTCAGGAAGATATCACCAACCTGCTGATGAAAATGGGACTTCCCAGCTCCAGTTTTCAGATTGGCCGAACTAAGGTTTATTTCAGTTTCACTTTTCACTGAAGAAATATCCACAACCTGCTTTTTGTCATTCAGATAAGTTTCCAGCTTTCCATAATTGACCGCTCATCTGTGTGCACAGGTGTTTTTGAAAGAATCAGAGAGACAAATAATTCAGGAAGCCCTTCATAAAGAAGTGATGCGGCGCATCATCATCCTGCAGAGATGGTTCCGTGCCTGTTTGATGAGGAAACAATACCTGCATGAGAGGAAAGGAATTATAACTATACAGGTACCATTCGTTTGGTTGGCTAGGGACTTTACATAATCTTACTACATAAACTTGTCTGAAAACGATCAGATCAACAATGCGTCTCAACAATTTGACATATGCCTTTTTTGTCAGCTGAAACCCTGTGACCTAGATATATTTACTTGCTTCCTTTCACAAGTTTCAATTAATGTTCTAATGTTTTTTTGTTTGTTTTTTTTAGATAAATTAAAACTTTATTCAGAAAGGACTTTTAAATTGGTCAAAAATCTTACAAAATATCTCTTTCAAATAGATCTCTTTCTATTAATCAGAGAATCATGAAAAAAAGTGCCTCACGGTTTCCACAAAACTATTAAGGAGTTTTCAATATTGATGATAATTATAAAACACAAAATCGGCATATTTAGGGCCCGAGCAGCACCGATGGTGTGAGCAGCCTCTTGGAATTGCTCCGTTTATTTCTATTGACTTCTGAAGGATCATGTGACATTGAAGACTAAAGTAATGCTGCTGATTTATGGAGTAATCAGTTTTGCCATCACCGGATTAAATTACATTTTAAAATATATTGAAATAGAAAACAGTTTATTTTAAATTGTAATAATATTTCACAATAATCCTTTTTTTTTGTGTATTTTATATTAAATAAATATAGCCTTGGTGAGCATAAGTCACTTTTTTCAAAACATTTTTTTTTTAAATCTTACCCCGAGCCCGACCTTTTTAACAGTAGTGTACGCATTTATAATTTACTATCTTTCTCTTCCTTGTAAACAGACCAAAAATATTTTATATTTATCCTGCACTATTACACAGATGTTCTAACAACATATTCTCATTTTATGTAATGCTATTATACATTGTGGCTTAACTTATTGTTTATTGTGAACCATCCTGAACCACAAAGGGTTTGTGAACTTGGTTGTGAAACCCTGCAAAAAATGATACTGTCCCTGAGGAGAGTTTTCCTGTTTCATCCCACAGCGATCGTGGCGTTTTTTGCGTGAGACATACAGAGGCAGAGCAGCTACTGTGATCCAGGCTGCATGGCGAATGTCCAAACAGAGAGGAGAGTTTTTGAAGCAGAGAGAAAAACTCAAAGCACAGACGTAAGTCCAAGTTACCTTTGGGTGTTTTTTACTTTAAGGTAAAACAATATTAGTCATTTTGGATTGTTTTTTCAGATCTCAAACAGAACTGGGCGATTTGAACAAGCCAAGTCAGCCAAAGCCAAGGCCTCCACTGCCTAACGAATCTCGCACGCCTGAACGAAAGAAGGCGGAGGATTCGAGCCTGCGGTTAAACACCAAGACTAAGGTTACAATAGAACCTACTCCTAGAATCACAAAGCAACTCAGCATCAAGGAGGACCAACCTGCTCGAGATGATAAAGGCAAGATTGGCAATAAAGAAAGACAACCATCTCCTTCAGGCCTCCCTCGGCCTGTGTCGCTTCCACTGAACATGAGCGAAAGTGGTTCTGATGAGAGTCAAAATGCTGTACACTTACAACGCCGTAACAAGACATCCAGGTTGAAGGAGAAGCCTGATAAATGGAAGGAGAGGACCAGTGGAGCAGCACATTTGGAGAACATCAGTGCTGAGATAGTACGACTTCAAACCCAGAGGAAATTGGGTTTATGGTAAGAGTTATATTTTGGTCATTTCTTTTAAAGTAAAGACTCATTTTATGTTGTTTTTCTTTATTACGCAACTCTCTGGAGTACTTCATTCTGATTGGTCAGTCTGTGGTCAAATATTTTTGTATAATGAGCACTATATTATATGTTTGACTGTTGTACCTGAAAATATCATCAATATTTATGTCTGTTTATCTATTTTTAAAGCAGCCATGTTATACTTTTCAGGCAGTTGGTCGTCATCACAATTTTTTTACCCTGCCAGAGTTTATTTTGTGGTAATGCCTGACTGGTAGTACATTATCCCTTATTTATTTGTTACCGTTTCTTATATGTTAGGAAATCTGGCATTTCTCAGTCCCTGGAAAATGTGTCCAGAATGAGTTCTTCAGAGTCAGACAGCTCCTCCTCTCCATCCAAAAATGAGGTACTGTTTAAATACTAGTTATGGTCTTTCTTTTAAATGTAAAATGTTATGCTATATGTTGATGCAAAACAAAATCATATTTTTGCCCCCCAAAAGTGACATAATATTTCAGTATATATATGTATATGGATATACTACCTTTCAAATGTTTGGGGTCAGTAAGATTTTTTTTAACCAAGAAAATAATACTTTTATTTAGTGAGGACACATTAACACATTAAATTGATAGCGACAGTAAAGACATTCTATTCATCAAAGAATCCAGAAAAAAAGTATCATATTTTCCACATTGATATTAAGTAGCACAAAGTTTCCAACATTGATGATAATAAGAAATCTTTATTGAGCAGCAAATCAGCATATTATAATTATTTCTGAAGGATCATCTGACAGTAATGATGCTGAAAATTCAGCTTCGCCATCATAGGAATAAATGAAAATATATTAAAATGGAAAACAGTTATTTTAAATGAATATACGATTTCACAATATTACTATTTTTACTGTATTTTTAATGAAATAAATGCAGCCTTGGTGAGTGTAAGAGACGTTGAACATTTAAAAAATCTTACAGATCCCAACCGTTTAAATCAAGCGAATTTCATAGATTATTTTACAGTGTTTATGGATAACTGGATTAGCAGGCACAGGTTACTCTTCTTTTTTTTTTTTTTTCACCTAAACCGGTTCACGTATCATAGGTTATGGTTCAAAGCCATAAGCACCTCAAACACAAGCGCCGACTAGCACGTCCCCGCAGTGGACTGAAGTTGGATGTTTTGGATCTAAGCGACATGGAGTACTGGAGTTTTCCCCTTCCTCCCATAAGCCCCTCCACTCCCAACCAGTCTGGTATCCCCATGGTACTGGAGACTGTGGTAATAGTCTGACCCATTTACAAAGGGATCATAAGAGCTGCTGTGGGCCTTGCTTTTGCACGCAACAGCTAACATAAGAATCAACATTAGATACTGTATATGGGAAGCGTTTCGTAGACTTAGTCTTTAGAAACCAGACTGATCCGGTACTTGGATGTTTCTGACTGGAAGCTGGTTTCTGACCTTTTTTGTATCATTTTACACAGTTAACAAACACTGAGGCCATCGCTACTTGTGCTAATGAGTGAATTTAGTAAATAGATATAAGAATAATGTTGTGGTTGTTAGGTTGCAGATAATGTTTTAAATGTATCATTATATAAGGGATTTAAACAACGTCTTTTATAGTACTAATTGGGTTTTATATAATATTATATGCTAGAATGTAATTATCATAATCACATTTTAATTTCTGTTAAATTGTTTGTAACATTCACTTCCTCAAAATTGGCTCCAAGCTATAACAGCTCCAGTATCCGGTTTTGTGAGGTTTTAGTTTCTTATTTATTTACTTTTTTGCCACAGAGCATGATCTCACAATGGTGGATACTGTGGCTCTGAAGAGCTTTGCTAACTAATTTAACAATAATTGTCAGGTTTTATGCAGGTTATACTAGACAATTTTTATTCAGCAATCTAAGATATAGGTAAAATTCTATAAGCAAAAAAGGTCAACATGGATTTTGGAATGCAGTGTGGGAGATGTAATGCTGGTGGCGGCACAAATAGAAGGAAATAACCCCAATCAATCTGCATTATTAGTGAACATTATGATTACAAAACATTCTTGCTAAATGGTTGTCAGCTAAACTTGTTTTGCATCCGCTTGAATGTGGTCTTGCTTTTTCCTGAGCTGTCTGTGGTTGTTTTGCTTAAAAGAATGCATGGTGGGACTATGGGTAACAAAGTGACATTTGCTGTAAAATCTCATCATTGGTATGTGTAGGTTTGATTAGAGTGATTGTCAGAAGTTCAGGATTTGGCTGAATGAACCACCTCATTTTTTTCTGCAGTCTCATGATAATCATTTTCAATCTCTAACATGTTTTGGTCTTTCAGATCCAGTCGCCTGTAGAAGCCGATGGGTGCTTGAGTATCACAAGGAGATCACCAAGTGAGGAAGCAGTTGTAACATCCAGCACACCAGAAAGGTGATTTAGTCCTTTCCCATCAGCATGTTATCTTGCTGAACTGTACTGTTCTAGATTTTACCTGAAATATCATTAATTTGATTTGAGGGTTTTTATCAGTTTTTAAAATTGAATCATACATAAAAGTGCTTTCATGTCAATTTAATGAAAATTTTCTGTTTGTATCCTGTAGGCGGGGATTCCTAAAATATTTTAAGAAGCGTCTGACACCCCAGGATGGTAATACTACAATGGCAAAGACATTGGCAGAAAAAGAGGAGCTAGGTTGTATTATTCACCCAGACCTACTTCATTCTTTTATTCATTTATTGATTTATCTAATTATTTCTATAATTATGTTAATAAATAAATAAATAAAGCACAGATTGTTTCAATAAATATGTTAATTGTTTAAATAAACATTTAAATAAATATATGAAATAAAAACAAGAAATGTTGAAAAAAATATAAGTAGACCAATTTTGAGTAAATGTTTCAGTTGCAGTAACTCGCCTCTTTTTCTCTTTTTTACCTCTGTTTCTTTGGTCCAAAAGCCAGTGGCTCTCACTCTCATTCTCCACGTTTCAAGAGCTCAGCCACTTATCCTGGACCTCGTCGCAACCCCACCATTAAAATTAGCCGAGCTACTCGTGTCCAGGAGCAGTGGAATGCTTCGCTGGACAGAGAAATCACTGATACTAATGAACTTCGCCACCTGGATGAGTTCTTGGGAAATCAGGTTTATATTCATACGCTTTTGTAAATGCATTTTTTTAAAATCCAAAATTTGGATTTTTTAGAAGCGCTTCCAGAAGTTCCTTTTGTTTATAGTCATATCTTATCAACTTTGTACTTTTAAGTGCGTAATCTGTTGGTGTAATGTTGAATTCAGATGAACGATCTAAGCACCCGCACAAAGGAACTCTCAGAGACAGAAAAAATCTTTTTCTCAGCCACCACACAGTTCAGAGACACCATCAAAAGCATGTACTCCATCTCAGTAAGTTTATCTGTGCTCATCTTTTACCTTCCCCTTATCATAGTTTCACCGATGCACTAGATAAGTACTGAAAGTCTTTTTTTTTTTTTTAAGCAAATGTTTGAAATGATCTGTTTCCTATTCCCAAAAGAATCCCAATATCGGCTATAAGGCCCTGATGTCAGGTTACCAAGCAAGGGTAGCCAAACTCGCAGGGCTGAAGAAAGTGTCTGAGGTGCCGCTGGTAATAAATCTTTTCCAATCAGTTCTGGATGGATTTATCAGGGGGGAGGTCAAACGACTGGAGGGAGAGCCTTGTAAGGTAACTTATGAAGCTGTAATTTCCACAGACACTTAACTGCTCAAATATATTTTTTAAATATAAGGCAAGTCACCAGACCCTTGAGGAATCTGGGCCTGCAGAATTTCAAAGAAGACTGATTCCCACTGTTTACAAAATATACCCAATTGCATTTTAAAGCGTTTACCCAGGGTATCCGCGGGTCCTTAAAAAGTCTTAAAAAGTCTTAAATTAGATTTTAAAAATTTATGGCCTTAAAAAGTCTTAAAAAGTCTTATTTTGACTTATGAAAGGTCTTAAATTTTCAATGGCAATTTGAGTTAGACATATCTAAATGTTTTCCAAATTAAAACTATCTAATTAGCGTACTTTTTTATTTATTATTCGTTCTTTGTGGATTTGCTCGTTCACGTGACATTTCGCGTCACATTCGCGCCAGCATTACGTCTGTCTCCTGCACGCGAAACAGCAGGAGAGGAGAAGAAAGCTGGTTAATTTCAGTTCAATTGTAAGTTCATTCTTTATGTGCGTAGTGGTGTGCGATGTGTATTGTCTATTATGATATTGTACTCATTGTTTTACTTTAACGTTAACTATGTAGGCTACGAGGGCGCACTGCGAGCTGACATCGCATTTGTCTCTCATGCTTGCTTTCACTGCGTGATGTGTCAGTGCAGTTATAGGTATGTTCCCTAATAGACGTATAAAGATTTTGTATTTTATATATCATATGTTGTTATCATACAATATTACATCAGCAAGAAGGCTGTTTTCCCGTGCACAATAGCAAATATGATATTTATTTTATATAACAGTTAAATTAACATTGTTACATTTTATAAACAATATTGTCAATATTGTTTGTTTTCCCTTTATTTCGCTGACGAGAATTTCAAAATGAAACCGTAGCAGAGTCTCAATGCAAAAGACAGCGATGATTTCTTGACTGAAATCCGCGTTTTGAACGAATCATTTTAACGATTCAATGAACAATCACTTGCAGTTCCTGAATGAATCAGCCGTTTGAACAAATCGTTTGAATGAATGACTCCCTGAGACAGTGACTTGCCGACACCTACTGGCGGGTTTAGTTTCACATTAAGTACCCTGTAATTAAAATGTTACAATTAGAAATCAGTTCATATTTAAATATTGAATTAAGAATTGAAAGAATTGAATATATCATAGCTTTATTTATGCAATTGTAAATGGAGTATAAATATATTAATGCCAGTTCTGATGCTGCTTCTGTGTCTCCTCTGCACTGCAAAGATGGATTTTGATTTAATGATTTAATTTAACTGGTAACAGTGGTATTGTGTTATTATTCTAATATAATTTAATTTGAATGTTAGAATTTGACATAAAAGGTGATGCATACCTCCAAGTAAAAAAAAGAAAAAAAAAATCCATATATGGGTGAAAATGCCCCTGGAACTCAATTTAAGGTTGCAAATATTGCCCTTTAATAAAAAATGTTAATTCCTTTCACTGCTGTGAACTGACCACTGCATAGAATATGAAAAATATGAATATCTTCGTGAGTCAGCTGTCAACAACAGGCCTAAACCAGCCATGGTACCAGTACACAAACACAATCAGTAAAATATCATCTAATAATCATCAACAAAACTTTGAAAATATTGAGACATTTTTTTTTCAATATTGCGCACCCCTAATGTAAGGTATTAATTTTGATTTCTTCAGGTCTTAAAAAGCCTTAAATTTGACTTTAAAAAGTGTGCAGATACCCTGTTACCCTATTAATACCCATGTCACATAATTCTGCTAAGTTTCTAATGTTTTTGAAAAATAAAATGCTTTCACCAAGGCTACAATTATTGGATCTAAAATGGAGTAAAATTTTAAATATTATTACAGTTAAACTACTTTAAAATGTTATTCCTCTGATAGCAAAGTAGAATTTTCAGTGGCTATTACTCCAGTCTTCAATAGTTAAACAGTAGTGTTATAAAATGTGGGCCAAGCTGGCAGATTCCCAGTGGACCTAGTTATCAGTTATCCTTGAATTTATCCTAATTACATGCGCCTCTTTCTATTTTTCAGGTTAAGGAAAGAAACAGAAGAAAATCTAAAAGAGATGCACATGTAAGTTATTTTCATGATATAGAGACATTATATAGCTATATTTATAATGCATGATGTGAAAATACAAAACAACACTAATATTTTACTCCCCCTGTAAGCCTGACAGCCCACTGGGTCACCTATTTAGCACATACCAGGTGACCATTATGCAATCATGTGACCAGTGCAGCTCATACATATGGGGAATGGAAAAAGCCTTCATGTGCAGCTGTAAGTATCCATCATCCTTTTCTCTGATCAATGCAAATTGACAAGGATTCAGAGGTAATTTATGCTGTACTTTCTGTTTCAGCTTGTAAAATGGTGTGTCACAAGAAGTGTCTGAGCAAGATAACAATAAATTGCACAGGTCAATGTGCCAGGAAGGTGAGCAGTATTACTGTATCACTTACTATATATTCACAGGGAAAATTCTGCCATCATCTACACAACCTCACTAACATGAGTGCAGATAGTGACAGTTTAATTTCTATCTGTAATGATAGACATGTTGGATCACATAATTACAGTTTATTTGTTTCCATTCTTCAGAAAGAGGGTGAGCATACCCTCCACTTTGGTGTACCTATCTGCGCCTTGGCCCGCACAGCTGACTATGTGCCCTTCGTCATGGAGAAGATGCTGGTACACGTTGAAATGAATGGACTGTACACAGAGGGTATCTACCGCAAGTCCGGCTCAGCCTGCCGAGCCAAAGAGCTTCACCACATACTAGAGAAAGGTAATAATGTGATTTGATTAGTCTTTATCCCCTCATTATCAGAAATTTGAGGGTGCTTTTTCAAAGTAAAAGTTTTATGACCTTTGTCATGTACTTTACTGTTGACAAATCAATTTTCATTTAATATAACTGCTTTGACTTTTTTGCATTGAAGGTTTTTGGTTTTTCCCCTCAGATCCGCAGACTGTCTGTCTTGACAATTACCCCATCCACACCATCACCGGCCTGGTCAAACAGTGGTTACGGGAACTACCCGACCCACTCATGACATACAGTCTCTACAATGACTTCCTGTATGCTGCGGGTGGGTTTTTGGCCACATGCAACTTTGGGTGTAAAGGCTAAACATTTATGCCACATATGTTAGAAAGAAATGCTTGTTTTTTCACCCCTCCAGATATGCCAGAATCACCCGAGCGGTTGCGTGCCATCTACCGAAAGTTAGATGAACTACCTCCCTCAAACTTCTCTACTCTCGAAAGGCTCATTTTTCATCTCGTGAAGTAAGGAACAATTACATATGACTGGAATGAATATAAGACATCCTGTGCATTGGTTCACCTCTTGACTAATTTCTTTTTGTATTCAGAGTGGCAAAAGAGGAAGCTCACAATCGAATGTCAGCTAATTCTCTATCGATCGTGTTTGCCCCCTGCATTCTACGCTGCCCAGATTCTTCGGACCCTCTCCAGAGTATGAAGGATATAAACAAGACCACTCTGTGAGAATCATTTTGGTTTATTTGCCTTCCTTGTTTATGATAAGCTTGTTTGTTTGTTTGACTTGATGCTGGTGGTTGATGGTCAAGATAGGAGAAGGTATACTAAAAATACATAAATAATGTGATTATCTAAGCAGCTAAATCGTTAATGTCATTATTCAAGGCAAACTACTTTCTTTGACTACATTCATCATACATGAACCCTATGGTTAACATTTATGTGCAGTTGTGTGGAGATTCTGATTAATGAACAAACAAGGTGCTATAATCAGAAAATGGAAGAAATTCAGCAGTTGGAAAATGCAGAAGCTATCGCCATTAAACAGCTCAAGCTCAGGAGACAGAACACGGTAAGAGAAGCGTCACATGCTAGTTTGCAATATACTACAATCCTAAAGATTTTTTTAAAAAGTAATTAGTACTTTAATTAGCAAGGACACATTAAATTGGTCAAAAATTACCATAAAATGTTACAAAATGTTACGTTACAAAATATTTTAGTGCTGTTCTTTTGAACTTTCTATTCATCAAAGAATCCTGAAAACTGCATCATGGTTTCCACAAAATTATTTGTCAACATTGACAACAATAAGAAATGTTTCTTAAGCAACAAATCAGCATATAAGAATGACTTCTGAAGGATCATGTGACACTGAAGACTGGAGTAATGATGCTGAAAATTCAGCTCTGCCATCACAGGAATAAATTACATGTTAAGATATATTCAAATAGAAAACCTTATTTTAAATAGTAATACGATTTCACAATACTTCTCTTTACTGTATTTTTGATCAAATAATTGCAGCCTTGGTGAGCATAAACATTTAAAAATCTTGCCGAATGGTAATGTACATAAGATATCACACTTTAAGAACAGTTGTGAAATAAGCATTATGGCATTAGCTTCATGACATAGAAACAACACTAATAGATCCTTATGGGTTTTCCAATTATTCTGAAATATGCAATATAGCAACACATTACACCTTTTCACCTACATACAGAACATGCTTCACCCCTACCATTACCCTTTAACTGTAATGTAGATGCCAGGGAATGTATTTTGTAGTGGAAAGATGATACTTAATGTTCTGATTAATTAAATAATGTTTTCATGAAATATTGTGCAATTAATACTTTCAGTATGTGGTAACAATTTATAAAAGCAATAAACCACTCAAGGCTCTGTTATTCTGAATATTGTCTTAGCTGTGGGTGTTTCACTCACCCCATCACACATCGTGCCTAACTACTCATAATGGAGCAAAGCCTCTCGTACCTTATTGCTTAAATGTATGTGCCATTTCTAGTCTAATATTTAGCACCTTTGGTATAGCAGTTTGCAAAGTGCTTCTCGTGGCTCTTATTTTATATGATTTCATGATCTCACTTTCCATTTAGATATTTGAGCGGCCAAAATTAGATTCAGATGCATCCTCAATGGACAGAGCTGAGCTTGAAATCGAAAAGAACCTGCTGGAGAAGATCAAGTCCATTAAGAAAGAAAAGTGAGTTGAAAATGCATGTATAACTTTTTATTTTTTCATTCATTGTTTAGTCAACAAATTTGTATTGTCTTCTAGCACAGTTTTAAATGTGCTTCGATCACAGTGAAGTTGTATCATTTCACTTTTGCATTTTGATTTTATGCTCTCAAACTGCAGTAACTTTCGTCCAGGGGTACAGAAAATGTTAAGAATTATAAGTCCTTCTAATTGTGCAATTCAAAACTCATTCTGTTTGTGGTTTAGGAACAATTTGGCCTTCAGACTGCCTGAGTTTGACCAGGATAGCTCTGATGCTGAGAACATGGACTCCGAATCATTGGTCAGCTCTGAGAGTCTACTAGAAGATCATTCAGTGAGTTTGGACTTGGAAGGTCAGTACTGAGGTACAGAAAATTTTAATTACATAATGCTTGGATGTCCCGCATGTTCTGTGTCCAAGAGGGCTTGGATTCGCTGTTCTTGTGGTGAGCTGGTTATTGTGCTTGTTGTTATTTAACCTGCTGTTTCTCTAACCACGGGTTTGCTCTGCTGCTTTTATATTAAATATAAGAATGTTTGTATATTTGGTTATTACATGATATTTGCATATATTTAGTCCCTAGTGGCTAATCCAAGGCATCTATTTCAGCGAACACTGCTTTGAAGAGCTCCAAGCCAGAGAATTCTGCTAAACCTCCTGATCCAACACATGATCCCAAACCAGGGAGCAAACAGCCTGCTGAGGACCGCAACCAAAACCATTCCGCCTCACGCCGAGATGGAGTCATCCAGAGCCAAGATGTCTCAGAATCCCTCACCAAGAGACGATTTTCAGACCTTGACATTCCATTTATAGATGAGGACGTTTGACATTAATTAACACCAAAAGATCTATGCAAATATTTGTCTTTCCTGCAACTGTTCAAGCAACAATCAGTTTCCCATTTCTGATCATAAATCAAATGCTGGATTCATGCATGCTGTCCTAGAACACCTGTTGTGTTCATAGAATACATTTGTTAAACAAAGCTGATGATTTTTTTAAAAAGGAAATTTAAAGCCATTATTACTTTTGCTAGGATAATTTAAACATTTCTTATAATCTTGGCAACATTTGTAGTAGGTTTATAATATTTTTAATAGCTTTGTTCATTTTTGTCTAATGCAAGTTTTTCTATGGACCACATTAGAGTGGAATGGGCCTTATATTATTGTTTTTATAGCCACAAGTCATAGTTCTTTATTTTTATCGCAAACAAGGAACTGTTGAGAACTGTTATATTCTTTATTGGATTGTTCCATTAATTGTTTTCTGTGAAATATTTGTATGTGGTGTAAATAGTTCTAAATAACATTGCTTTCCCAATTAAATCAAATCGGATGAGTCCCCTTAAATGTGAATATTGTTATATTAAAACATTTTTTCTTTTTCTTTTTTATCTTTTTTTTAGGAGATTTGAAGATGTTGTAAATCATACCATTCTTGCATGCCTATGTGGAAGGCTGGTGCAAGACAATGACAATTTTTGTTTTTAAAAATGCAGTTATGGAATCTATAAAACCTGATCACCCAACAACTGTGAATATAATCAAATTGTCATCTCGAATCAAATAATTTTAATATTATATTCTGCTGTAGTGTGTACCTGGCCACTCATGAATTTCTGTTAATGAGCAGGCAGACAGTGCTGCCAAAGCATTATCTACAGAACCAGTAAAATGCTCTTTACCTTTCACAGATCTGAGACCAACATTAAATGGCATACGCCAAAAATAAATGGCAATCGGAACAGGATCAGTGCTTAAACAAAAAATTATGTGAAATAAATCTTGATGTTAAGACAAAACATATATTCCCTTTTAATAATCGCTGGGATCGCCGGATAGTACACTCAAGAAAACACACATAAGAAAATTGCCCAAAGTGTTCATCTTGTCAGAATCCACTGTCCATTTAAACATTTCGTTAGACTGTAATTCTTCAACCCCTTTGAGGAACTTGTTTTACTCTGTTGATACCTTTGAAAAGAATTCCAAGAAATCCAAATGTAGTCTTAAGGTTTTACAAATTAATCTTAAACATCTGTTTAGTTTTATTTTTGAATAACTAAACTTGGCTCTCACCATGAACACAGCCATAGAAGCTGGTGTGGCATTAAAAAAATGAGGGGGAAAATGCAGTTATCAATGTCAGATTTAAAGAGGTTCTATCAGTCAATTTACATTTATTTGAAAGAAATCTGTGAGAAAATGGTAGTATCATAAATGCAGCTGTTTTATACTGTTGTTATGCAGTATGGATATATTCTGCTCTAGTGAGGAGAAATGGTTACAACAGGTGTGTTAAAGTGAGTGAATGCTGCATATTGAAAACTAGAATAAATTTTGTTCAAGAAGTCTGTAAATCTTGAATGTAATTGGTTTTATAATATTATGGAATTTTAAAACAAATTGTTTTGCCGTTGTCATTTTATAAATCCAATATAAAGTTCCAGCAAAAAAAAAATCCCAGAGTGTTTTGCCTGACAAAACCATGGACAAAACCGCGTCTGCTCATGAGGTAACACAATACAAACAACACAACAGTCAGCAGTTTACAAGACAGGGATTCCTCATTGTTTTGGGTTCACTCGCACGGACGATGTACTCGGCCAATGAAATCGCGAAGAAAACCACTCCCGTGTAAAATTGACCAATCAGAAACCTGCGTTGAAAATATGGGCGGAACTCCTGAGAGCGAGAGCTGAGGACAGGAAGTCGCGTGTATGCTAACGGTAAACTGTAATATTTAGCCACACCTCGCAGGTCCATCTACCACAAACAAGAATGGATATAAGTTAACAATGACTGGAGAGAAAAAGAAGAAAAAGCGGCTGAACCGCAGCATTCTTCTAGCTAAGAAAATCATCATTAAAGATGGAGGCACTGTGAGTAAAACATTTCTTTGTGGCAGTTAGCCATATGCTAGTCAGGGCTAGCAAGCTAAACCAGTGTTTTTACAGTATGAGCTGTAACAACTCTACACTGAGTGTCATTTCGATTGACAACCTGGCAGACACTTTATGGTGATTCCATCTGTTTCGTGATGCAAACTAGTAACTGTTAAGTCTATAACCGACTCTAAGGAGAAATGAACAATAATATTTGAGAGACAATAGTTTCATTAGACAGCCAACAGTGAAAACAACAAGCCAGCTGTCTAGAAAGCAAGCCAGAATTTTCATGGCTTGCGTTTTGACATCGAGTGAGATATCTTATGTTCAAAACCTGTAAATGAAACCGAAAGCTTCAAAATAGGAAAATTAAGTAAGAGAAATAAATGATCTTTATGATGAGCGTCAGTGACAGAATTCGGTGTTCCGTCAGGATAGAAATTAACATGCTTTTTATGACATATGTTCTGTTTACTTATGACACATGTCACAGTTTACCTGACGTGTTCTTTATAATGACGTGTTTTTGGTTTACCATGTCGTTTTGGTTGTGAACTTTAGAAAATAGTCGATGAGCTGTCAAATGTTGACTTCATGAATCAAGTAGTAGCTATGTATTCACACATGGTATGATTTATATGTTGTCTATGCCTTCATTGTCCTTGTAGGAAACACTTGTCAATAATATTTCTTCAAAGTCCTTATATTAAAAAATTGATTTAAAAAGACTGTAAGGCCAGTGAGTAAGTTGACATCAATGTGTTGTAAACTTCTGTCCACAAACATGAATGTAAATAAAACGAAACTCCTGACATTACGTTGTAATATGTTCCCAAATGCAACAAACTATACTTTATCAAATCAAAGGCTGTGATTTAAATATCACAATTTGATAAGAGATATCACTATTTAGTAAGTAATTAAGTAGCCCCATTTGTTTATTTTAATGTTACGTTTAATTAATGATTAGCATTTAATCAACTCATGTTTGGGAAACTCCGAACTAATATTTAAGTGCAAATGAATGGTCCATTTGTACCAGGCTAAATTATATATGATTTTATGAAAGTAAATATTTTTACTTTGACCTGTCCTCTGTCATTTAAATACGCCTCGTGTTTTCATGTAGTGTAAGAGGGTTTTACACTGTGCCATAAACAGGTTGTACATTACCAGAGGTTTCTAATCATTGACTTATTGTACAAGTGATTAGCTTGGGACTCCTGGAAATCGATTGAAAAAGGTTAAACACTATAGCTTTCTGAATCAACAGCAGCTCCTCAATGTCACTATTTATATCTTGCTCATCTCACATTTAATAAGAGCTTTTATGAATACATTACAGACTGTACAAAGAGAGATGTGTATGTTGACATTGTGTTAAATGTCTATTAACCTGCGTAGTCCTTTCAGGCTTTGTTTGCTCTGTTAACTGCTTGGGCACAGGCAACGACTCTTTCTCTCCCCCCTTTCTAATGATCCATAGCATTGTGTTCAATCTGCAGGCTGTTAAACATAATTAGTGCGGGCTTTCTTGCGGACCATTAAGTGACTTCCGATTTTCGGCATGTACAACTTCAATAAGGGTTTGGCGAGGTAGTTTTGGCCGTTTAGGGGTTGTATTAGGGCCAGGCATCCATCTAATATTTGTTAAAGTGAAAGCTTTTGCAGTACACCAGATAAAGAGCAAATAAATGTAAGATAATAAGTCTGTCATTGTATGCCCCTTGGACCCTGTTATTGCACACTATGATGTTGTTTATTTAATGGTAATAAAGGATATTTGCTCTGTCTTATGGTCTGCAATGTGTATCGTTTTCTCTTTATTATCCAACCTTTCTCCTTATTGCTTCTTTATCCGTGTTCTTCTACATTACTTGTATTTTGTTTGTTTGTAGTAACACTAACTCCTCCTTGTTTAGCCACAGGGGTTTGGAGAGCCCAGTGTCTACCATGCAGTGGTGGTTATCTTCCTGGAGTTCTTCGCCTGGGGACTGCTCACCACGCCCATGCTTACGGTAAACCAGTTTTGCTTCATCGCCCTCATTCACAGTTTCAGATCAGAGCGAATTACCAGCCATGAATGTTTGCATTCATTCTCCCTTCCTTTTGTATCCATAACAAGGAGTGACATTTCCCATTGCCCAGATCCGAGAAGCCTTGTACAAATTTATGAATAAATTAATCCTGATCAAATGAAGAGGGCAGAATAATGCACTTTTAGTTGATGAGGGATGCATTGTGTTGGCTGAGTATAATTGACCAAGCGATATTAAAACGACATCAAACAGTGTCATGGTCTACGGTCTAAAAATTACCTTTTTATTCTGAAGGCTAACTGGAGGGTTTGTCAGGCCACAATGGTTATAAATGAAGCCGAACCTGTAATAGGCTCTATGCACGGCGGTGCATGACGTATTTCCGGCGAAGGTCTAACGATGCTGGATTACTTCCGCCGATCGTAGAGTGCTATGCTATACCGAGAATTTATATTGGCTTCTATACTCTTTGGCTATACTAAAGGAACGTTAGTCACAAAAACAGACAAAACAGCCACCCCTCATTTTGTTTATGCTTATTTGCTTTATTATATTAAATAAACATAACTATATATATATATATATATATATATATATATATATATATAAAATGACATCTAAACGTATGAAATTTTCGTTTCAAAGACGGGAGGACAGCAAATTTTGAAGATAATCCCGTTTTCCTCCGCTTTAAATCTCCCCAACCGGAAACTGAAGAGCAGCCTTGTGTCAAAGGCGGAAGTTATGCGTGCATATAGCGTATTTACTTTGTAACGTAGTGCCAGTTGTTTTTATGCTGGCCAGCATGATACTGTTGTTGACACTGTATCCAGTACAGTCACAGCATGCTACATGATCCATGGCTCTCACTGTAACTAATGTTTTTCTTAAAATTACACTGCATGCAAAGTGGAATTGCTGTTTCCTTTTGATGAATAATGCATGAGTTGAAAGTAGTTTTGGGTTTAACTCTTTCTGCAGGTCAGAAGCCCCTTAGAGTAAAATGTGGTACACTCAGGCCAAGCTCAGTACATATTTATTTATATGTATATTTGGTCATATATACAGATCTGTTCAGAAGTTTGGGGTCTAAGATTTCAAAAAAAAATTTTATAAAAGAAGTCTCTTATGTTTACCAAAGCTACTTTATTTGACTAAAATGCAGTAAAACAGCATTTATTTGAAATCCAAATCTTTTGTAACATAATAAATGTCTTTACTCACTTTTGATCAATGCAGTCTTGCTGAATAAAAGTATTTAATCTGGCTGACCCCAACATTTTGAACTGTACTTTGACACATTCAATCTTACTGCTATTAAATTCAGGTATCAGATATTTCCAGCTTTGTTTACTTTGTTTCTAGGGATGTACTGTACAGTATATCTGTTACCATATCAGTATCTGCAAATATTGGCATTGACATCTGTCTGTTTTGCGTTTGTTCAGCAGAATGAATTTAAACATTGTAAAATTTAAAATGGTCAAACAGAAAACAGAGCTGTGAACACAACACTACTCTTATTGATCAATGAAAGAATAATAATTACCTAAAATATTGACTAAACTAACTTTTTTTCATTGGTTTAAATGGTATCCGTAACTTCTATGGCACATTACAAAAGTACTAAACAGTTATGCATTATTTCTATTGTACATTGTAATTCTTTTATGTCTGATTTCACACTGTTGATCAGTGTCAACACAATATATGGTAACACTTTAGGGTCCAATTCTCACTGAGCTAGTTGCTTATACGCATGCATATTACTAGGATATTGGCTGTTTATTAGTAGTAATTATAAAGCACATATTAATGCCTTATTCTGCATGGCCATATTCCACATCCCTTAATCCTACCCAATTCCTAAACTTAACAACTACCTTACTATTGATAAGCAGTAATTATGAGTTTGAGGCAAAAGTTGTAGTTAGTTAATAGTGAGAATTGGACCCTAATCTAAAGTGTGACCCAATATAGATTTATTGTATGAGCCTTGATATCGATTATCGGCCACAGCATAAAAGACCAAATTGAAATCTGGATTTTTTGTGTTCATTTAAACTTGGAAATAATGTTTTAGGATTTTGAAATATTTAAAACAAAATTTTGTGACTATTAAAATGTATTATTAAATGTAATATTAAAATGTGGACATTTTCACTCTCACTCATTCTTATTGTTTGTAACGGAAATAATGTAAAATAAGTATTTTCTCTAGTGGTCAGTTTTTGAGGCTATATTATTGGCTTTTGGTAGTGGCTGAAATTGAAATAGTCACGGATAAATTACTTATTCATTTTCCTTATAATTTCCCAATGTGGGATGAGGTTTTGCATTTAGTTGGTGCTGTTGAGCCAGAGAGCCAGTGCTCTTTGCTCTGGGCTTTTATTTGATTAGTAGCCGCTGATACTGAAGGACTAATGAGCCTAACAAACCCTTTCAGATGAACGCTGCACTGACAAGACTTATCATCTCAGCTAGTGGCACAGTTTTGCTCTTTCAGACAGTGCAATCGAGTCCTAAAATCTGAGTTCTCAGCTGAGTGCTGAGTGTTCAAATTAACACAGCGGGGGAAATGTGTTCACATGCTTTGTTTCATCTCTCAACAGAGCGTAGGAACAGTCTGTTCACAGCATTCATTCTAATTTTTAGAGTGGGGCATAGCCTGAATTCAGAGGAGTATTACCCATCGGTTGAACGTTTCTCACAGGAGCTTTATGGGATTGTTAGACCGTTTACATTTCCATGATGATAACAGTGACTGATAAAGAAGTAACAGTATCAGGTTTTGTTTTTATATGTCATTATATGAATCCAACCTATATACGAGCAGATTATTTTTGCAGGACAATATGCAAGGAATCATTTATTGCAAAAAATGATCAATAACCAGTGTCATTTCCCTTTTCTAAAATATGTCCTAGCTGTGCAGTTATAGAAAATGAATAAATGTTTTTTTCAATATTTTTTTTAGCCTATCAGAATTGAACATGCCACTGTATAAGTAAGGCATATGCCCTCTTGGACTTCAGTCTTATATTAATGTTGACCTCTTGGAACTAAAGACTTTCTTTGAATTTGTATACAGGTCAGTTGATTTGTTTCCCAGTCATAAGAGAACAGATCTCTTTTGTACACTTATGTAAAACATTGACACTTGGATACAGTGTGTTTAATGATTAATCAAGCCGTGGGAATCATTGCTCCAGTTAGAGGTATGCACCTGCCTTCAACGCCAATGACTGATCTTATGCTCAGCCTTAAATAGAAAGCAGATCAAATCTCAGAATGCTCAAGTAACATTTGTGATTACATACAGCCTTGCCTTGTACTTGCCTTCTTATGGGTTGGCCAGTTCTTTGCACATTCAAAACAACATGTTTTGCACCTACGGTGGTTGTTTTGTAACCTCTAAAACAGTGTTTCCCAACCCTGCTCCTTGAGGCACACCAACAGTGCACATTTTGGATGTCTCCCTTTTCTGACCCATATATTTCTGGTCTTGGAGTCTCTACTAACGAGCTGATGAGTTGATTCAGGTGTGATCGATTAGGAAGAGTTGGAAAATGTGTAGTGTTGGTGTGCCTCCAGGAACAGGGTTGGGAAACACTGCTCTAAAAAGTAAAGCAGCAAAAACAAATGACACTAGTTTATGTGGAAATGGATTATATATATATATATATATAGAGAGAGAGGCTTTTGCATCTGAAGTATTCATATATATATATATATATGAATACTTCAGATGCAAAAGCCTCTAAGTCCGTCTCTAGGTTTTGTTTAATATTAACATTTTTATCATGTATAGGTTTCTACCCAAGTGCCGACATTTCTGAATGGGCTGGAGCTGGGATTTAGTGAGTTTGAAGTGAAAGTATTTGATGAACGTATACTATGTGCAGAGAGCATTCACTTAATGTTATCTCATTTTTGACAGAGGTGGATTTTAGAGGCTTTTGCATCGGAGGTCTTCATATGTTTTTTGTTTGTTTGTTTTTTATTGAAATCTGACGTTTAAATAAGAGACTATTAACGCATCTCTGTCTCTTATACTCAAGAGATGGAAGAATCTTGAAATTAGTCTAAAAGTGCATTTAAAAAATTGTGATGTTCATTTGATGTTGCTTACTTTTAGAATGTGATGAAATCAGTGCAAATATATTTGATGAACCCAATCCTTATTGCCAAGTGTCGGCCAGTAGAAGTACTTCTTTGATGAGCTGTGCCATGGAGTAAATTTAGTGAATCATTGAATCATTAACCTAGTTATTCTGTACCCAACAGATTATCTGTATATATGTACAGCATACATTTTATGGTCAATCTGTTTTTTTGTTTCAGGTGTTACATCAGACATTCCCCCAGCACACATTCCTGATGAATGGACTTATTCATGGTGTCAAGGTAGGACATTGATTCCAGCCATTCACGTTTACTCATGCTTTTCCACTTCTCCCTTTCTGATGTGACAAGAGATAAGAGTCAGGATTAGAGCTAGCTACTCTTACGTTGCGATGTTTATTTATGATAAACCCTGATCATACAGTGATGCCCTTGAATGTGGTGAAGTGGGTACAGAATTTTCCATTTTCAACCTCACCGATAAACAAGATTCTGCAATCCAACCGGACCCGGATGTTACTGTGAAATTTTAAGATCCAAACAGTTTGTCAGATCCGGTCAGGCTCTGGTTGCAGTTGTTTTTTTAAACTTTCAGATTAAATGTGCCATTTAAGGAAGTCATGTGCTTTTGTATTCACTCAGGGCCTGCTGTCTTTCCTGAGTGCTCCATTAATCGGTGCTCTGTCAGATGTGTGGGGCCGGAAGTCCTTCCTGCTGCTCACTGTGTTCTTCACCTGTGCTCCCATCCCTCTCATGAAGATCAGCCCATGGTAAGCCTCTTGCATGAAGCAGTTGCCTACTGAGACAAACAATATATTTTTTAAATGTGTCTGTGTGTGTGTATGTATATGTATAGTATAATATGTACACATATACATACATTTATTTTTATTTTATACATTTTTTGGAGCATTTTGAGAAGTAAAATTGTATGTCATGATTCTACTGAATAAAACCTTTTTTTGTGTCCAGGCAGGATCTGCTTTTTAATGGAGTATTTTAATGCAATATTTAGTTTCTTATTTTTTCTTTTGATTTTGGGGTAAAATATAGCCTGCATATTCCTTTGTGAGTGTTATTTTAGTATTATTTATGTACCCTTTGTACTGTTTATTTCAGGTTTCATTGTAATTTTAGTTTGTTTTAGTAATTTTGTTATGTCCATGACATGTATTTTTTTTTAATTCTATTTTAGTAGTAATTTTAGTAGTTCAGTTAGTTTCTAAGGCAACATTTCTAATTTTCATTTAAGTTTTTCATCTAATATTTATATTTTATTCTATTTTAGGTTTATTTAAATTAATGGAAATGATTTTTAATATTTTCAGTTTTCGTTAACAAGAACACTGTTGTGAGCTTAACCCTACAGTAGCACAGTCATTGATTGATTGACAGACAATATGATTTGTTCATATTATCATCTAATTTAATTTTAATTTTAACATTTCAAACTGTCTAAATGTTTTATTTTAGACTTAATCAGATTTTTTTCTTCTCATTCTCTTTGTCTGATCCTACAGGTGGTACTTTGCGGTGATCTCCATGTCTGGTGTGTTTGCGGTCACTTTCTCCGTGATCTTTGCATATGTGGCTGATATCACCCAGGAGCATGAAAGGAGCACAGCATATGGCCTGGTGAGCAGAGGAACATGACTCATGTTTTTTCTTCTTCTTTTTTTTTATGTTGTGCTGTAACTAACTTCACAGCAACTGTATGTGCAAGAGCAACGCTGGATATTGGTTTCCTGTTATTTTGACAGTCGTCTGTGGTTTCCTTTTTGGCCCTGCAATTAAATTAAGGTGTTAATTGCATCAAGGCAACATTTTCCTTGTGATCAACACAGCTGATTTATTTTTATTTTTATTTTTCCCACAGGTGTCGGCCACTTTTGCAGCCAGTCTGGTGACAAGCCCAGCGATCGGTGCGTACCTGTCAGTGGCGTATGGAGATACATTGGTGGTGATCCTTGCCACGGCCATTGCCCTGCTAGACATCTGTTTTATCCTGGTAGCGGTTCCTGAGTCCCTGCCTGAGAAGATGAGACCGGCCTCCTGGGGAGCCCCCATCTCCTGGGAGCAGGCAGACCCCTTTGCAGTGAGTCACTCATGTCTATGCATACAGTCATGGGGATGCAATGACCCTTGTCTGTCACATGATAAGGTTGTTGTTACCTGATTGGTGGTCTAGTTTTAGGGTTGAGATAATTGTTCAGATCAATTAGTTTTAATTTTAGTTGTTTAATTTTTGGCCGTGTTGCTTTAATAAATTATTTAATACATATACACTGCCATTCAAAAGTTTGTGGTCAGTAATATTTTTATTTTTTTAAACTTTTCAACAACTATGCATTAAATGTATCAAAAGTGACAAAGTCATTTCTAATGTTACGACAGATTTCTTTTCAAATAAATGCTGTTCTTTTGAACTTTTTATTCATCAAAGAATCCTAAAACAAATGTTAATGGTTTCCACAAAAATATTAAGCAGTACCACTGTGATGATAATGAGAAATGTTTCTCGAGCACCAAATCATCATATTAAAATGATTTTCGAAGGATCATGTGACACTGATGACTGGAGAAATGATGCTGAAAACTCAGCTTTACCATCACAGGAATAAAAATGTTTTGAAATATATTAAAAATAGAAAACTGTTATTTTAAAATTGTATTTTTGTAACTGTATATAACTGTTTATAACTGTATTTTTGATCAAATAAATGGATCCTTGTTGAGCATAAGACTTATTTAAAAATCATTAAAAAAACATGATAGTGTGTATATATATATGTTACATTTATATTACTTTTTATTATTGTTGTTACTATTATAACATATTTGATATTTTCCAATCTGAAACGTTTTTCGAAAATGTTGTTTTGCGTGTTCCTATTCTGTTTGCCTTGTTGCCTCAAATCAGTACCATTGTGAATTCCATTTTGGGGAGAAAAAAAACCATGAGCAGGCATTTGAAGAAGAATGGCGAAGATGTCGTCTGTCACTTATTAAATGAATCATGCTGCTGTGCTCCTACCCACTCATTCTCTCTGTGTCTTTCTCCCTCTTTCTCATGCTCTCTCTGTGACTCTTTTGTTCACAGTCCTTGCGTAAGGTGGGCCAGGACTCGACGGTTCTCCTGATCTGCATCACAGTCTTCCTGTCCTACCTGCCTGAGGCTGGACAGTATTCCAGTTTCTTCCTGTATCTCAGACAGGTACAGTGCACACCTTTATATCAATGACACGGGGCTGTTTACACCTGACCACTTCATGCGTTTTCTGTGATCGGATAGCTATCCGATCGTGAAAAGACCAGGTGTAAATGCCCTCCGAAACGCATTCGAGACGGATTTGAATCCGATCGCTTAAACCACTTCAGGAGGTGGACTGGGCCGCATTCCAGACGAAACTGTACAAGTGCATCTGGTTGTTGAAACCACATATGTAAATTTTACTCCTCCCAAAAATGCTAAAAAATAAACGTGTGAGAGCGTGTTATAGGCTATATGTCATGTTATAGTCAGATATGACGGCGCTACTGCGTCACGCATCACCTCAGATGAGCGTCTATTCATCAAGCCATCGCGCCGCTAACTATCGCAAATCAAAGTGAAAGTAAGTCGCAGACGCTTAACACACAATCATCTTCATTAAAAGTAAAGAAACGAAATGATCTTACCAGTTCTCTTAACGCTCTCTCTTATTGCGGTCTTTGATTTTGAAATTAGCTGATGATCAATAAAATGCAGCAATATCTGTTGCTTTCGGTGACGTGCACTCCATTAAATCTGCAGCGGTAATTGAAGATCGGATTTATATCCGTTTTGCAAAAACACATTTATGTGACCAGGTGTAAATGGAATCGTTTTGATAAATCAGATAGCTATCCGATCTGAGAAAATGCATGAAGTGGCCAGGTGTAAACAGCCCCACAAAGACAACTGAAATTCCTTTTTATTTAGTGGCATGGTGGAGATCTGAGGTTGCTACTACTGCATGAATATGCTTAGGCAATTATGCAAACACTCAAACCTTGTTGTTGCTTAAGCAAATACCCCAAAAATGAGTCATACCTCACATAGTCTCCCTCACCCTCCAAGTAAACAGTTAGAAATAACTTGAGATAGTCATGTGATGTTTAACTCACTCAGCTTCTACAGTAGTTAAAGGGCATCCGTTTTGCAGAAGGCATTCTTCCCATATTTCAAAACAGAGATTTGTTTGGTTTTGTGGATGCATGTTGTTGGCATCCTTCTGTCTTCGAGAGACAATGGTTTAGAATCTGCACCCAGGTCAGTCTGTGGTTTGGTTGCAGAAGGCATTCTTCCCATCTCCCTTTTGTGGATGCTTGTACATAATGCTTAGAAACATCATTATGTAACACTGACCTTTGGTCAAGCAATTCAAGAAGTGTTTCACCTTTCTTTTCTTCTACTGTCAGGTTGACAATTAAGGAAACAGCATGAACGACACTGTATGCTGTTGATGTTAATGGGTTTTATATTAATAAAATCAAAAGGTTATTTCACACCAGTGTTGTTATCGTAACTAATGTTATTTAAAAAAAATTGTTAATTGAAATAAAGATAAAATAAAATGTAAATATTAAATGAAAAATGTCAACAAAAATAGAAATGAAAAATTTCCAACTAACTGAAATGTTTTAGTCGAAGTACTAAAATTACTAACTTAATAAAATAAAACCAAAATGAATTAAATTAAGCTATAATTAAAACTTTTGGTAAAAATATAAGAATGAAAGCTATTTCAAATTATTAATAACTATAATGGTATCTAAATAATACTGAAATTACGCTGTTTCAGGCGATTAGATTCACTGGTCTGTCGGCCGCTAACTAAAAATGCTCTGGAATTGAATGATTCAAATCTTAATTGAAATATGTTCTTAAACTGCCAATTTTTAATTCCCAGGTCATTGGATTTACATCAGAAACAGTTGCTGCCTTTATTGCTGTGGTGGGAATCCTTTCCATCTTGGCTCAGGTTGGTTTCCAGGATTTTTTTTCCACCCCTTCCATTGTGAGTTTGTACCGCCTGACTCTGAGCAGCACAGTGTGTGTTCATTCATACTAATCGAGTGCATCAGGCTAGGGGTATGCAATACGACCACAATCCAAATCATTGTGTAAAATGACTCAAAAATATTACACAAAATGTACATCGCATAAAAAAGTTGTTTTTGCTTTACATAAGGTTTTTATATCATCAAAATTTGAGACCATTGAAATTAATTTTTGTCACCAATTTCAATATCACAAAAAAATACTAGTCTACATAAATTGTATAAAGTAAGCAAATGTATAGAAAACACTGCATATCTTCAATGTGTAAATTAAATATACATTTATTCTTATTAAAGTGAGACAAAAGTGATTCAGTCAAGAGCTTTGAGAGATTTTCTCTTTTGTTGTTTGATTAACATTAGACACAGACGGCAGCATGTTTATTAAGCTGCTGTCACTTTAAGACCATGCACGGCTCCAATATACTGTTACACATGCGTTTCCTTTCTCAACTGTTTACGAGGATACTTGCAAAAACGGACACATTAGTATGCTCAGCGCGTTATGAGCGGCGGCTTCATGTGCGTGCGTCTCTCAGACCGTATGCACATATAGCGAAATGAGTTCCCTTTTGCTGTTTCTTGTTTCAACGGTTTAAATTCACTTTATTTTTAAACCGCAATGCTTAATGCATGGAAGCTATAAGCTTTCGTCACCACGTAGCACAGCAACATCACGTGAGCGTAACCGCAATAGAGGGCGATAGTCCCAAATCTCTACCGGTTGACAAATTTCTACCGGTTAATCGTGTCTACTGTTAAGTCACCCACCCCTACATTAAGGTGCTAGATTGTAAAGGGAAGCCAGTGAAGATTTGCAAAGTAATGATTTATGTCTCTGTGCAGACGGTTGTCCTGGGAATCCTGATGCGTTCCATAGGGAATAAGAACACTATCTTGTTAGGCCTTGGCTTTCAGATCCTACAGCTGGCCTGGTATGGCTTTGGCTCTCAGCCCTGGTGAGTTGATCATCTAGAAAGTAACCCACTAGAGGGCAGCAAAGTCTTAGTTAGACATGGTACATTTCAAGTCACAGTTTGTAAATTGGACTTTTTACTTGAAATCAATTATTATAGTGTTTCATAAGCTATATTTAAAGCACTTTACCAAGATATTTCACAGCTAGTTACTGTTCTGAAAATGTTTTGTTGTTGTTGATAAATGGATGAAGAAAATCAATGGATTTCATTCAAGATGGCATGTCCTGCTTTTGTGACATTTGACATGCCATTACAAGTCATCAAGTTATCTTTCTGTGTCTTTTGGCTAGAACTCAAACAAACATGACCTCTGCAGTGTGTGTTTTGGATCAGTGCATGTTCCTGAAACTAGTTACACATGCACGTGAACTGAAACCGATTGAGAGTCTGTGTGTGTGAGTCTGATGGTTTATTTTTCCCTTAAGGATGATGTGGGCCGCTGGAGCCGTTGCTGCCATGTCCAGCATCACCTTCCCGGCAATCAGTGCCATAGTGTCCCGCAACGCAGACCCTGACCAACAAGGTGAGACACGTGCAGCCATACACAGTTGAGTCTCTGGCTGGAAGCCTGGAACATTTAGTTTAGCCACAGAATAATTATAAGTCACTGTTTATTGTTATTACATGGAATATTTAATTCTGATGGGAAAGAAGTTTCTTATGCTCAACAAGACTACATTTATTTGATCAAAACTACAGTGAAAACAGTGAAAATAATTTTATTTTAATATATTTATATATGTTTTCTATTTTAATATAAAGTGTAACTTATTCCTGTGATGGCAAAGCTGAATTTTCAGCATCATTTCTCCAGTCTTCAGTGTCACATGATCCTTCAGAAATCATTCTAATATGCTGATTTGGTACTCAAGAAACATTTCTTATTATTGCCAATGTTGAAAACAGTTGTGCTGGATAATAATTTTGTGGGAACAGTGATGCATTTTTTCAGGATTCTTTGATGAATAAAAAGAACAACGTTTATTTATTACTTTTTTTTTTTTTGTCTTTACTGTCCGTTTTGATCATTTTAATGTGTCCTTGCTGAATAAAAGTATTAATTTCTTTTTTTTTTTAACAATCTTTTGAATGGTAGTGTATTACAATATAATATAGTAACCTGGTTTTTTTTCTCAACATGTGATTGGGAAAATGCATTTTCATTCAGTATGTCTCTTTGTCTCTGTCAGGTGTGGTGCAGGGGATGATCACAGGAATTCGAGGACTCTGTAACGGTCTGGGTCCTGCGCTCTACGGCTTCGTCTTTTACCTGTTTCACGTGGAGCTCAGTGAAATGGACCCCGCAGAGAGCCCAGAGAAGGGTGCCAAACCCAACATGGCCAACCCCACAGATGAGGTGAGTGGTGATAAGAAATAAGAAATCTCTCTCTATTACATAACATGCATGGACCCACAAATCTCTGTATATCATGCCCCTTCAGAGTGCCATCATCCCAGGCCCTCCTTTCCTGTTCGGAGCATGCTCGGTTTTGCTGTCCCTTCTGGTTGCTCTCTTCATCCCAGAGCACAATGGCCCCAACATGCGGCCCAGCAGCTACAAGAAGCACAACAATGGCGCGCAGAGCCACTTACACAGCTCGCAGGGCGGACCCTGCGATGGCAAGGAGCCTCTACTGGAGGACAGCAGCGTATAACCCCACTGACGAGGGGGGCGGGCACGGACCCCAAACCCCCTCACATACCACCCCAACCTGCCCAGGCACACATGAGCAGTGCACCTTTTTACAGAAGATGACATCACCGCCCTCTCTTGTTCCCCTGCAGCTCGGAGGCAGAATGAGCTGTGGGAACTGGCGCACATATTACAAGTGCGTAACTGGGCCAACTGGGAGCTGACCTTGGCCTTGAGGACAGGAAGTGGAGCAAAGGACATTTTGGCTTGAGGGAAGTGCAAGCAGACAGTTGTGTGCTGATATGGACTTGGTGAAGGTTTTCCTCGTTTTTACTGTTACATATTTTTTTGTGTGTTTTTTCTCTCTTTCCGAGTTTCAATTGTATAAATGTTCCTTGTCCAAAGACCTGGTAACCGTAACAATAGGGAACGTGTCTATCGTGACGTTACAGGCTAACTTTTGATGTGCTGCTTTCTACTGGTTCTACTTGGTTTTGTACTTAACAGATTAAAAGACGCTTCTAGGGAAGAGTGTGTCGTCTTTCCGAACCCTCAAGGAAATGTAACCAAGAAATGTCAGAAAGAAGGTCATCAACGTCATTTCACACAGTCATTGCTGTTGTATCATGCTCCTTCAAACTATACTTTCTGTTCTTGTACATCAGATGAAATAGTTTGTACTTCCTCTCCCTTCCTCACAAGAGGTGTGTCAGAATTCCTGCAGAGGGAGTAAAAGTTGCCTTTAAGTGACTTTTCATCACAATTACCAAAACCCAGATGAAGACTACGCTCTGAGAAGGGTCAAACGTATCGCTCCTGTCGGAGCCTGCGCATATTTGATTTTCGTTTATCGTCTGCTTCGCCACCAGAACTCCCTGTGAACGTCAGCACTGCCATGTTACAACAGGCTAGCAGGGTTACAAGCTTACTGACCGCACACTTAGTTTTCATATTATCGCAAGCACTGATGTGGGTGGAATAGCTTAAATGTGATTGGATGAGCATCGCTAGATCAAGTGAATCTAATATCACACATGCTGCTACTGTAGGGTGTACAAGGTTACAAAGTTCTGTGGTATAATAACGTGGTGTGTTTCTATTAGAGCTAAGCTTTTTTGGGCACGCCATTGTAATTTTAGACCCCAAATTTTGTGGCAGATTTCCATTTGTGGTGCTTCTTTTCTTTTTTCTTTTTTTTCTTTTTTTTGTCTGGTAAGAAACTCTGAATACTTTTATCAGATCTCAACATTAACGTTTGATTTTCCAGAGAAAACCTCAAGTGCTTTCAGATCACTTTTTTAATACCGATCTCTGGGTTTTGTTTGTTTGGTTTTAGGTGCCACTTTATTTCTGTCTTTGTGCATTTTTATTCATTTGTGTGTTCCATTTTCTGGTATTTGTATGTTTTTTTTTTATTTTTATGTTACTATAAAAAAAATATTTTCAAGACAAATCCACGGATGTTCCCCAAGGCTTAGTCATTGTAACTTGTTTTTAGCTAACTTTTGGACCATTTATGTTCTCTTACAGCATTGAAAACCATGTAAATGTTATTTAAAGGAGTTTTCCATCATTTTGCATTGAGCTGTATGACCAAACTTGAATGGTATTCTTTGTCATATTATTCTCACCTTTTTTCTGTTCCTGCATAATAACTCCTTTCCACTACCCACTAACTTGCAAAGAAATCTGGTGTTTGCCTCAGAAAAAAAGCCAATTAATGTGTGCCTAAAGTGTGCTCTAAATGAATAGAAACAGTTTATGTGAATGGTGAACCAGCTGTAAATATTAGGAATTGATAAGAAACTATTTATTAAAAGTTTATTGATATTGAAGTCTTTGTTTTCTTCTTAAATATATATATAAATTATGTATCATATGATCATGGATTATTGTTGATTTTCTTGTAATGTTGTCGACTAAAATTAAAAAATATGTATTATATATTCTTAAGTCTCAGGACAAGCATTGTTCAGGGTTTAGCTAAATGGTGCAATTTTTAGGTAGGCTATGCTCTCTGAATTCAGACTAATATATTTGAAATCTCAACATTAACGTTTGATTTTCCAGAGGAAACCTCGTGCATTCAGATCACTTTTTTAAAACCGATCTCTGGGTTTTACTAAACTAGATTACTAAATAAGCATACTCTGAAAACTAAGGTCCTAATCAAATAAGTCCTAATAGCTACGACTTATTTGATTAGGACCTTAGTTTTCAGAGTATACTAATTTAGTAATCTAGTAGAATAAAAGCTAGTGTTTGCACTCGTTTGACACTGACTCGTCTATGGATGTTTTAAAGTTATGACAACAGTCCATTATATGTCCATTTAAAAAGTTGTTTTATTATCATTAGAGAAGAGGGGGGTTTTTTCTCTGCCTTCTGCTTTTGGTAACTCGTATTTCTCTGAAGACATGCCTTTATTGCTTTGAAACAATGCAATGTTAATCCACTAGAGGGCAGCAGTGTGCAACATCGTATCCAACACTTACAGCGTCTTTGTAAACGACGTGAGCAGTTCACGACAACCACAATAGAAGGTGTATTACAATTTAATACATTTTATTAACAGCAAAGTATTAAATTGTCTTTCAGATTCAGATGTGATTTGCAGTGCTGAGTGAGGAGGACATTTGTGGGTTTACTCGCTGGAAAAAAGTTCTTTCGCTCTTCATAATACCGATTGGTTTTTGGTGACTAGTTTAAAGTCCCCGTGAACCGGAAGTTGCAAACGACTTTTCTCCTATGCTTTTCTCCAGTGGTGTGACCGGTTGTGACGTATTTCCGAGAGAAACGGAATACTAAATGAGGCAAAATAGTGGGCGTGGCTTTTTTCCCAACTAGCACCTGATTGGATCTAGAAAAGTAGGTGTTTTCATTCAGCCTGTCTACTGTCGGTTGGAGGGGCGTGGTTACGGATGTTAAGCAGACACCCAAAACGTTAAACCTACGTCATCAGGGAAGGTCCTCCAATGCAGAGGGGAGGGGACATTTCAGATTTTGATTAAAGATTACGAAACCAAAAAAAATGTTTGTGTGGATTGACTTGCATGGATGAATTGTTCACCACAAAACGATCAATTTAGGCAAATAAAGTAAGTATGGTCAATTTTGAATTCATGGGGACTTTAAATGTCAGTTTTTGGACTTTGAAAAGGCAGTAGTTGGCGTAATGCTGACTGACACCAACTGCAGCATGTGTCAGAAATGTTTATAACAAGGAGGTGGAATCACACATGAGAAGTGAGAAACACAAACAGTTTGAAGAGCTGAGTCAGGTAACCACATGCCATTAGATTCTTGCACTTATTTAGCGCTTAAGTCAAAAGTGTTATTTAATTTGACTTTAACCTCAATAAATGAGATTGCATCAACAAAAGTCAATATAAGAGAGATATGAAAGAAGCATCTGCATATCGACGCCCACTTTAGGCTTCAAAAACGCTCTTCAGAAATCTACGAGTGACGTTACGGACAACTACGTCCATATTTTTTTACAGTCTACAGCAAGGCAACATTTGTTATTTTCGTTTAGTTTACTTGATGTAGCATACTAAAATAAATACAAATTAAACTGAATTAAAAACTAAGACAAAAACAAAATTAGTAAAAACGGAAAATAGTACCTATATAAAAACTAAGTAGCTATCTCAGTGATATTAAAACAACACTTTTTCTATAATGCATAGTCTTATTATATCTGCAAGCTTAATGTATTGTCTCTGCATTCACTGTCACAGACACAGTACAGAAATGATATGGTGTCTAAGGGTTGTACACACAGCAGCCCTGGCACATGTAATCCTATTAGAGTGCTGAAGGGTCAGTGAAACAGGGATGGGGTCAGAAACAGGATAGCCTACATTCTGTTTTCAGAAGGAGGCTACTGTCAACTGGAGTAGCTCCGAATAAGAAACATAGGAAGGGTAAAGACCTGATACTATATCAGGCCCAGGCAGCATATATATTTACATTAGATAGCAATGCATAATGGAACCTTTGGGGTGAATCTTTGTTGAAATTCATTCCTGACAGGCATGGGAGCCTGCCTGACTGCCTTCACCTCCTGTTCTGTTTCCTTTCCAGTTCTATAAGCAGATATGTATAGATTTCTGTCTTTTCCCTTTGGTATAACTAAGCGCAGAAGTGAGCATTAACCGTCAGCGGGTGTGTATTCTGCTTAACAAAAGAAGTCAGAGCGCATGGGACCGTGCTGTCAGGTCATGTTTGTGTTGTGAATGCCAGCGTGATGTGTTGGGATATGTGCATGCAAGTGGATTGAACTGCATTGAATGAGTTCATTTTATCAGTTAGCCTGCTGAGTACACAAAGAAATGTTTAAATTCTCCTGAATGGATAGATCTCTGGAACAGCAAACATTTTTTACAGATAATGGATGGTGATATTTATGTGTTGTCCTTTTTACCAACTTATAGCTGGTCCAATTCCTCCTGAGGTTTCTCTGTTTCTGTAATCGAATGATGGAAGGTGTAGAGTTAACATGGGATGCCAACACAGTTTCTCAGCATTGAGTGCTTCCTGGAGATAGCAGCAATACATTTAGTTTAAAAAGGTTAGAGGTTCGTAGCTAAAGGGCAACTTATCTGAACTGAATTTAAGCTAAATGTTTCACACATCATATGAAATCACTTAGCACAGCGTGTATGTGGATTTAGAGGTATACAAATGTGGATGAACACGTATTTATTTATAATGTATATTTAAAATGTATTAGACTAAAAAAACTACAAAACCATTATTTTAAAGCAAAATCGTCCTGGACAATTAAAATGATTCCATATATAATAATGTTGTTGAAAACTTATTTTAAAGTGTTTTTGAATGAAGCCAAAGCTGCATTTATTTGATAAAAAAATACAGTAAAAATTTTAAATAACTGTTTTAATATATTTTCAAATGTAATTTATTCTTATTTTTCGGTGATATGATCCTTCAGAAATCATTCCAAAATTCTGCTGATTTGGTGCTCAATTGGCTTCTCATTATCATCAATGTTGAAATTCGTTATATTTAAAATAGGCTATATATTTTTGTGGAAATATTAATAGTTATTTCCCCAGGATTTTTTGATTAATAGAAAAGATAAGAAAGAACATCATTCATTTTATAAAATCTTTAAAAGTCACTGGCATCCTTGCTGAATAAAAATATATTAATTTCTTTAAATAAATAAAAATACTGACCCGAAACATTTCCACGGAGTGTATATGAACACAACCAAAATCGACCTAAACCTGCTAAAGAAAATGATTTATTCATTTGGACGTTTAAATTAGCCTACCTGCAACTACTTCACCATGTGACAATTTCTGCTAAAGAAAAGCTTATTTTGGATAGGAGACTTAAAAAAAAAAAGCCCAGAAAGATTTGATGTCAGACATGAGAAGTTCCCAAAAAACATTTCAATAAGTAAAAATAAAAATCATTCACTTGAATCTTGATAATACTTCATGTTCTTCTTTTAATCCAAAACAACATGGGAGGGCAGCAAATTTAATAAAGCAATTAATGACATATCCTGCACTCAAAAAAATGAACGAGGAAGGTTGTGCACTTTACATAATATATTTACATGATAGTTTACTTATAATAATTGTGTTTTTTTACTTGAAATGTTTTTTTCTAGTAGGGTCAACATAATTATGTCTTAATTACCTTAATTGTCTTTTCTACTTAATAGTACAAAATCCTGCTGCGTTGTCTAAACACAAACCATTTATGTTAAGTAAAAAATTCTTACATCCAGATGGTGGCAGTATAGTGCGACGCCAACTGCCATTTTGCCCTAACTTAATTTGATTGTGTTCAATCTGTTTAACTATGTATTACATGTGATTACATGATTGATTTGTGTTGCATTAACTGAAACTGGGCGGTGCTTGTTAGTTCCCAGCATGCTTTGCATATGGTTGAAATAAGAGAGAATAAATGTTAAAATTAAGTGTTATTTTATATTTTTTTTGAAAAAATTAGAAAAGGGGAAGACTTGATAGTGTGTAATTGTGTTCAATGTTCAATTACATTGGAATTATTAGAACCTTTTAAATTACATT